TTTAAATTTAAAAAAAAAAAATTTTCCCCTTCCCAAAAAAAAGGTGTTTTTTTTTTTTTTTTTTTTTTTTGCCTAAAACTTGTTTTGGAAAGAAAGAAGTGGTGATTTTATTTTATTTTTTGCCAAACTCACTTTTTTGCAAAACATGACTTAGGCCATTATTACAATAAAGACTTTTTACACTTTTATGAAGGGAAACTGATGAATAAGTTGAATGCTCTGCATTTCTGTACCTATAATGGAAATATTATCCATATTAATATTATCTGAAACTTTAAAACATTCCCAAATTTTCCGCTGGTGCCGTACTGTAGCTCTCTGAGCTCCCAGTGATGTGTGCTGTGCCTGCTGGGGTCATTAACCTCCTCTGCTAAGCTTCTTGTTGTTTTCATACCAAAAGGCAACTGCTGATCCGGTGGGTTTTTGAAAAGCCTTGTCGCCGCGTACGTGCGAGTGCCTACGTGTTCTGCATGGTGTTTCTGTGAGACTGCTTTTGAGGGTTACGTGTTTGTGTTGGAGAGCCAGCCGCTGCTGTTTCTACTGTCCTCAGAGAAGGGCTTTAATGGACTCTGGGATTCAGAGGAGAAGCACCACCGCTCTCATCCTCTGCGCCGTTTAATTACCTGCAACACCACATAAACGCTGCAAACAGCACGGCTCGGGAGCTTTCAGGAAATTGGTGGAGTAAAGAACTGCTGTTTCTCTTTGATGTCTGTTGGCCTGACCGCTTCATTTTTTTAACAAGTACTACATCTGTCAGGGTTTTCATAAACGCAACGAATCACAATGGAAGACATTCCTATTGATTCTTAATCACATGAGCTAGCTTAATTAATTCATTGTAAAGGAGAACAAGTGAAAGAATAATTTCCTTAGGATTGTCAAACATGTTATGTACTTTGCCTGACAAAATATGCTGTAAGTCACCTTGAAAACATCCCCCCCACTGTAAAACATGAGGGAGAGCTTTACAGAGAAGGGAAGGGACAGGGAAGCCGATCAAAGTTGATTGGAAGAAAGTTCAGAGCATTGTTAAAAGAAGAGGCTGTAAAACACTGGAGAGAATGGGATGGAGGCCCGTCTGTCTGTCTTTGGGGTGTACCTATTTTTCAAGCCACAGAACTTTGCATTCAGTCCGTCCTTTGTTCGTTCATCACGCTGTAGTTTGGCTCACCCACAATAGTCAAAACAGATCATCCTGTAACAAACAATGAGGTCTGCAGAGAGGATCATCAGGGCTGACCCTCTGGTGTCAGGAAGAGAGCAGCAGAGCCGACACATCCTCAGTACAAACTGTTTGGACTTTTAACCAGACGTTGACTCTATAAAGCGCTATTTGTAAAAACCAACAGAGACGGTTTCTTTTCCCAGGCTGTCCCTCCGATGAACAATGAACAGTCAGAGTCCCCATATAGTGCCCAGCAGGTGAATTAGTAACACAATTAGATATGCAAGCACAGACTTTGTTGGAAGATGAACCTCCATCATCTGTTAAAACTAATGTTTTATTGAGTTAAAAACTTAATTCGGTGCATTAATAGAAAGCAAAAAAAATTTCATTTCGTACGTTTTGTTGAAGGTACACCGCAAAATCAGGTCAGCAAATGATATAAAATGATACGAACCCTAAGAAAAGCAGTGCTAGTATTTAGATTAACAAAACAATTTCTAAATAAAGTTCCGCAACTTTTTTCTTCCTGGAGTTTTATTCCACAGTTATTTGCCGTAGTATCTGATCTCAACATGATCGCAAACACCCCTGAGCAGTTTGAAACCTCACCTTGGACAGCTGAGTTTTACTGGGTGTTAAAGGGCTACTTTTTCAGAGCTGGTGTGAAGTCAGTCCCCGCCATCAAGGGAAGCTGTGCATGTTGTACGCTGGCGGCGGAGGAGTTGACCGTGTACGTTTGGTTAGCTGAAGCCGGGATTACTCTTATGTGAACATTGTGTGGGTCAGTTTGATGTCGGGTACAGCTAAAGGTGGGGGTGACTTATCTGTCTTAAATCAGCTGAAAATAGTTTATGCAGATGCTACGTTGATACTTTTGACTTAACCTTTCAGTGTCTTATTTTGTCAGCTGAATATAAGTGTGACTTACATTTTCAGTCATGATGAATCTGTGAGTAACTGGACCTGAAATCATGGATGATTCAATGCAGAAATAACCAATAAACTCTGATGGGACACTACAGCAAACACAATTATTGGTTTTTAAATTCAGATTCCTCTTTATGTTAATTAAAATAATCACATAACCAGTATAAGCTGCTGGGGAAAGTCTTTCATTGTGTGGCAGACTCTGGACTTGAGTGTGCTGCGTCTGGGTTGTTGTAGGCCTGATGGAGCTCCCTCTCCTCTGCAGGTGCTGCTGGTGAGCAGCAGTCGACATCCAGACCAATGGATTGTTCCTGGAGGAGGGATGGAGCCTGACGAGGAGCCCGGTGTTGCTGCCGTCAGGGAGGTGTACGAAGAGGTGAGTTTGCAACACAACAAACACTTCTCTCGTTTTTCTGGATCGTGTTGGCGCTAAACGGTTGGCCGGCTGGGGTCCATAATGATGTCTTTCAGTGCGTTTCCATAGATTTAATGATCAGACTCTTGATTGGGACAATTGTTAGTTCTGTTGACTTGGAGGTTCTGGGTTCGAACCCTGCCTCTTTCCCAATAATATGCGCCAACTTCACAGAAGTATTTAAATTTTGACAAGAGAAACGAGTGGGAACTCTGGACTTGGATACAAGTTCAAGTGGTTGATTTCTTTTTCTAGATTTATTCTGATACGGTTTGCAGTATCAGTGATTTATTTGAATAATAGAAAAATCAAATAAAGTTTGATGACATCCAGCAGGAAGCCTTTTTAAACCACACTGCAATGAGTGACAGTAACTTTAATTAAGAGCGATAAACCACTGGTATGATGCTGCAACATTCCACAAAGCCAGTAAAATTAAGCACGTATTGTTTTAATTTCATCAATGTCGTCATTTCTCATAGTCCGATATGGTCATATGATGACAGGAAACCCAGATGAGGGGAAGAAATATTTGGCAGTGTTGTGTAAATATCCCATTAATGAGGTCTGTGGTCCACTACAGTGGAGCGCTGGTCGTTTTCCAACATGTTTCGCAGCAGAGCGAGCTGTGAACTTCTGCTGCAGCTCAGATGGTGTGCTGACAGCCTTGAAAGATGGCTGTGACATTTGGGTAGAGTTTCCAGTTACCCCAGTTACCCAGACGTTACAGATATGACGTGCACACGGATATAGACGAGCTGCACGGTCACTGCAAGGGGAGATTTTCTTTAAAAATATTTTTTCAAGCTTATATTTAATGTTTAAACTAACATTACACACATACTTAAGAGACTCTTTGAGTACAGTAGAGTAAAAAAAAAAAAAATCTAATTATTAACTGTCCTTTAAGCTTTTATTGTTCTCTGTGGAGCTACTCAATAATGACAATAATAATAATAATCACAAGTATGTTGGTAAATATGTACAGGAAATCTATTCCCTGTTTATTTGAGGGGAAACTGTTCTCAATCATTTATAATCACTGAATCCTAGCAGGATTACATTCACCACTTTATTTGAACATCGAAAACCTTACATCGTTCCGGACCTAGCATACATTTAATTATTCAAAATATAAAGTGGATTTCATTCAGCGTTTCCTTTTAAAACAATACATGACAGATTTCTTTAGATAGCAATGAATTGTTGTATAAAGATCTGCTTATTCTGTGACGACAGAGCCGTTCTTCGTCGTCGGCAAAATTATCTGTTTTTGCAATAGTGATCTCCTCAGTTATTCCAACTGTTCTAAAAACGAGAGATCTGTGCTGCTATAAGCAAACAAAATACTGGCCAGGAGCTCCTGGAGAGCATTTTTTTCTTAGTTACAAAAAGACGAATGTGTACAGTTTATACAGCGTTTCTAGCAGCTGTTCCTAATCTTTGTTACTTTTGAGAACATAAAAAGGTTGGGTAACACTTTATTTGAAGGGGGGTGAATAAGACTGACGCAACACCTGTCATGAACATGAATAAGCCTTCATGAATATTTATGACTGTTGTCATAAAGCGTCATTCGGTAAATTATGACTTTTAATACAAAGTTGACATTATTCAAAATGTCTTTGTTATGACAACTTGACATTAACCAAGAAATCATTACTGATATAAATTTGTTATAAAAGTATTACTGATTGCACTTTAAAAATTAGGTATCTTTATGTTATTAAAGGTAAAGTTTAAACAGTAATGATTTCCTGGTTAATGTCAAGTTGTCATAACAAAGACATTTTGAATAATGTCAACTTTGTATTAAAAGTGTCATAATTTACCGAATGACGCTTCATGACATAAATATTATGAATATAAATATTCATGAAGGCTTATTGATGTTCATGACAGGTGTCATGTCAGTCTTATTCAACCCCCTTCAAATAAAGTGTTACTAAAGGTTGAGATGAAGCAGGTGAATTTATGGCTCTTCTTCTGTGGTTGTGCTGTTCTCACTGAAACGCCTCAGTTTCTTTGTTTCTCAGATTATGGGGATGTAAATATGATTTCTACTACTGAATATTGAAAAATATTCCCAACCTTTAATGCACTTTCTTTTTTTTTCATTTCAGGCTGGTGTGAAGGGAAAACTTGGCAGACTTCTTGGGATATTTGAGGTAAGGCTGTCAACTGGCTTGCATTGTTACTATAACTTTAGAGTCCAACAAATCACGCTGCAGGAAATCCTGCAAAATGCCCTGTCATCATGTCTAGAAGAGAACACAAGGTAAACTGTTTCAGATAAAATCATTCACAGATTGTGTTCACAGAGTTCGTATAAAAGCTGATAATTTATTTTCTCTTCCTATTCAGCAGCACAATCAAGACAGAAAGCACAGGACGTACGTCTACGCTCTTATTGTGACAGAAACACTGGAGGACTGGGAGGACTCTGTTAACATTGGTATACTTCAGTTTTAATTCCCTGTTTGTCACATCATGGAATACATTATAATATAAAAGATTACTGACTGAACTTCTTTTTTGCATAACATTTTATAAAGTCAGGTTTCCTGTCAACTAACTATCAAATAAAGGCCACTAGAGCTGATAAAACCTTAAAAAAAAAAAAAAAAAAAAAAAATTAAGTGTAAGTTCAGTTTGCTCCAGAATTACTTGCAGATTTTGGGTAATTTTACAAAGTAACAGCCAAGGACTTATTCTGAAGCTAATATTTGGAAATTATGCAGCTGCATGTTGCTTGGCTAGGCTTTGCCAAAGAAAACATCCTGACACTTGTAAAGGGATATGTAAACACTCTGATGTTGTAACAATGAGGATTAAGATTGTTTTGGGGAGTCCGGCAGGGTTTCATGTGGCATTTGCAAAAAGGAGTAGAGGTAGAGAAGCATGTATGCTGACTTCTTGCTGTGGCTGATCTTTATATCTGCTGCCAAATGTATTTTATATCCTCTTTCAGAAAAAGAAGCGTGTATTGTACATATCTCATTTACAGCAGATTGTTGCTATTGAAATTGTGGTCAGTGTTTATTGCAAAACCTTCATCAGACCAAGAACTTGTAATAATGTTTTCATTGTCAATAGAAAAAGGCTGCAAGTGTGAAAAATATTCAGATGTAAATATCGGAAATATGGTTAACGTAAGCACTAGTTTCGTTTTTAACCACGTACGTTTGGTGACAACCTTGTAAAATGTGATAATTGATCTGGACAAAGACTCTGCATTATGAATATTTTTATTTTACTTTAGTCAAAGCAAATCTGACCACAAGAGATGTGGATATTAACTGGTTCACCCCATCACATTATTGCATATCTGTCACAAAAGATGACATTCACTGGTACAGAAACTGTACCTTAGTGCTCCCTTGGACCAATTTTATGTTTTTACCTTCACAGTTTTACTATAACAATGACTTAAAATTAAGGTATTGTGTTTTTAGCTGCAGGCATATTAAGATAGGATCACAGTTTTTAATCAGGTTGATCAGGGGTCTTGATACCTGCAGTTCTAGAGCAAGAAGTGTCTCTGTGACTCTGATAATGTTTTAACTATGAGATATTTAACTCTAATACATAACTGTTTTCGTTTTACTTTCTCTGATGTTATTCTTTTATACTGTGGCCCCACGAATAAACTCTGGACCAACCCCGGCCCCTCTGGTAAAGTTGGTCTAGACCCACTGACTCAGCTTATAATTATGTAACCTCTTGGTTGCATAAACTGTGTATAGATCAGCAAATGTTTAGTCCAGGATGGTCAGGAGATTATAAAGTTTGGAAAAAGGGGGAAAAAAAATAAGGTGGCACACTCACTAGAAAAAGTAGTCGATTTTACAACATTTATCCCATTTTACGCAATATAACGCAGTAGATAGTAAAACATTTTTGGGTTGACACACATTTTATTTGGTTTATTCCAAATTGCTTTGGAAACTTTCTCTTTTGTTTGGTTTTGATGAACTTTTGCTCTCTTTGGCCAAGCAAAAGTGAGCAATTTTCTCCTCTCACCACACTGTATAATTAAGGTCTCCGCCTTCTGCGTCAAATAAAATGAAAGGACCTTTTGTGTTTATTTTCTCCCACGCAGTGTTTTCTGTTTACATTCACTGTGTTTTATGCTCACCAAGCTCTAAAAACTGTAATTGAAATATACTTTAGTCATTTTTCAAAAAGCAAAATCAGAAGTTGCGGAACTTCTGAAGGATTCACGCAGTCAGCAGAACCTGTTACAATTGGGGAACGGTGTAGAAAGGCCGGACTTACAACGCTCCACAATATCTATACGTTGAAGTTCAGCAGCTGCAGGAAGGAAAAGTTAGAGCAGCTAAACTCCGTCTGCTTTGGTTACAGTTCTCATGCAGGAGAATAGAGCTGGCTGCGGTGAGTGATAACTGGAAAACAACTGGGCACCTCAAACATTCCTGCCCCCCCATCGCTCCCTGTTAACAGGCTGAATCTATTTCTGTGGATGAATGGAGTAAACAATCACAGGCACTTTTAACAGGAGCAGTTAGAAATGATTGTTATGAGCTACTCTGCTGTCGAGAGACGGGATACATTTCAAATATCAAACACCTTTAAAATAACTGCGGGTCACGTTTTTATTTTATGTAATTCACATTACAAAGTCACACTCAAACTTTTTACTCTGCTTGTTTCTCCTTCCTCTTGATTTCCACAGGTAGGAAGAGGAAGTGGTTCAAGGTGGAGGATGCCATCAGGGTGCTGCAGAGCCACAAGCCTGTCCACGCAGAGTACCTCTGCAGACTCGCGGACACCTGCAGCCCCCCTTACGGGCCTGTGTGTTGCCCCCGAACGATGGACAGCAAGGCCCCTCACTATGTTGTTTGCTCAGCGCAGGACTCAGAGCTCTTCAACAGATAGGCCTTACAGCTGAGAGTTCCTCCACCGATGGACTATACTGAAGCATTGGTTGCTTTATGAACACAGGTTTTTCACTTGAACAATACTAATTTTGCAGGAAGTTAAAACAAAAACAAACAAACAAAAAAGTAGTAGCCCTTAAAAAGTGCTGTGATGCTTTCTAGGTGTATTTTTGGATCATTAAAGCAACAGTTAGCAGCTGACAGATCAAATGCATCCCCCGTTTAGGGGTTCGGTTACTGTGAAGTGAAGTTCTTACCGGGGTCTTACATGTTTGACCTCAGTGTTCCCAGTGTGTTGGTGGTTTCCAGAAGACTGAAACTGGGAAATGTTGGCCTTAAGAGGAAGCTCTGTTCCCACTCTGACTCACTGCCAAATAATTTCCTGTTGCAAGAAGAGGTAGCAGCCACAAGTGTGTGAATGTTTTAGAACAATTTTATGCATTTCCTTTCCCCTCATGACACTCTAGATTGAGTTTTCTTCTTATATGAGTTGGTTTAAAGTTAGCTTTGTTGCAATAAATGAGTCAATTGTTGCAACAAGCAGGGTTGTTACTACTCTGTTTAAAACCTGAGAGGTTGCCCTAAATAGTATTGAGATATTATTTATGTATACACACATAAATATTGTTAAAATGAGCTACTTGTGGTAAAGATGAATAAAAATCCTTAAAATAATTCATCTTTTATTCTATAATAACAAAACTAAGAAAACTGACAGATTCTAGTATTTATCTTTAGATCGTTTGCTCCCTGGATAAAGTAATGTTAAGTATCACATTGCCTTAGCAAGGATCCCCAGAAGGAAAACAGGCCCACGACATTGCAGATCCCCCAATGCCTTAAGATGTTTTTCCACACATTCAACCATTGTTTTACATCATTAACTTGTGGCCAAAAATATCAATCTTACTCTAATCTGACCAAAGCACACAGATCAGGTTAAAGTCCCTGTAGCACATGGCAACCTCTGCATGTGTGATGGTAAGACGGAAAAGGCTTTTATGGCATGCTTCCCAAACACTCAGTTGCCATGTCTAAAGCATCTAATTGTTGTTATGTAGGCTGTGGTGACACCAAGATGCCATTGTTTTCTGCAGGTCTCTAACATTAAGCCTCAAATTTTTTGTTTCTCCCTTACTGTAATGCTTACAGTTCATTATGTCAAAATAAATTATTATCCTTTTCCAGCCTTGTTTGTTACAGTTTTAGTTGTTTAAAGCATTTCAATCATAACTCTTAACTTTGCATATCAAATATTTTCTTGTGTCTATAACATGACTTAGTAAGATCAACACACATCTGACCTGGCATGATGGCATTGTTTGTTTTCCCCTATTTTGAAGGGTGTCTTAGAGAAACTAGCAACTGCGCTCTAGGGGAACAGAGAGTTTTGGATTAAAATTCTAGAAAATCTGATCAACGTAGAAAAAATAAATATAAGTAAAGCATACGTTTGAGAAAACCTTCTGGTGACATTAATTTTATAGGAATTGCCTAACTGTATGCCACTGGTAGTTTTGTTAAAAACAACACTTGCTTAATATCTTTACTCCCACCACCCATTTTGAGGAAATTATGCAACTACAATACACTTTTATTTTTAAACAAGGATTTATTAACATTTGACAACTGAGCCACACAACAGTGTTATTTTTGATACCCTTGAGCTACACAAATATGTGAAATAAAGTCTCATAGATTTCTTTTCCACTTTGTCGTGGCCTTAATTATTTGTACTAAAAGTGAAAATACTGTTATTGTAATAGCTGTATTGTAGCTTGGGGTTGGCCTTATGTAAACCACTGCTTATCATGAGCATTTAGATTAAACCATTACATCAACAAAACCATATTTTAATTAAAATAATCCGTTTCTTGTGTCTGAGCTCATATTTCATAATTGCGATGATGGGTTTAGCTGGTAGTGGGACTCCCAAATGGAATAAATGGAACAAACATTTCTGCTTAGGGCCTCACAAAACCTTGAGTTGCCCTGTTGTTACTATTACCTGTATCTGTAATGAGACTAACCAGGACAGAAATTCTTTAAGCTTTTCTGAGAAGGAGCGCTTAACGTGTGTTGAACATTTCTTGGCTCTTGTGTTTAAGTTTTAAAAAATGCGTACGAGTTGAATATTTCTATGTTGTATATGAAACATAAACACGATATGTTTGATAATTTATATTTACAGTCTTGTCAATGAACCAGAACATGACAGCTCTGTGTTGACAGTAATTATATGAGCAGCCATGGTGAATGCAGCCGCTCAACCATCCCCTTCACGACCCGCCCATCCGCCGCTTCTCCCACAGCCTGGTCAGGTGTTCGCTTGTTTCCATACGTAAACTTTGCATTTTGGTAACTGATCAGCTTCTGTGTCGTGACAAACCCAATCGAGGACATGTTCAGACGGATACTTCAAATGGTAAGTCTTTGTGAGGTTAATCAATCGGGATCGCTTTTGTTTTGAGCATAGCGGCTCGTTTTCCCTGGAAGACGCAGGCCCATCTGTGTCTGGTTTCTTGACGGGTGCGCGTGTTTAGTTAAATGACGTACCGCTGACGGGCGGGGCTTGTGTGTGTTTGTGGTTCGTGGATTCCTTGTCCGGAGTGCTTCTCCGTCTCGTCACGTTGGGGTGGAAACATCAAGCGCTCCTTTCTTTTGGATGACACAGCTAGCCATTAGCGCATGCTAACTTGATGTAGTTGAATGATTGTACTGTTGACAGTAATGAAAATAGGTTCTCCGAACAAAATACAGATTTATCTGGCTCTGCTACAGACAGTAGAAACCAGTAATATGAAAAAAGAACGGTTAATGCCAATACTAAGGCTTAGTTAGCGGTGGTTTAATTCATCAGATGCTAACGCTATCGTTAGCTACAGGCGTTAAAGAAATGCTCTATGAGCATGTAAACAGGAGTTTTAGGTAACTAGGCTTATAAATATATGCATGAACAAACTATATGGTTGGCAGTAGAGTAAGTTGCTGGACTAACGTACTAAATTGAGCTGAAAAGCTTTCGCATTGGACCACATTAACCACAATGCATTGCTACCCGCATTGTGTACACTTGGAGCACATGACTCACCGACTTAAACTGTTCAGCCATAACTTTATAACCAGTGACAGGTAAAGCGAAAAGCAGAGTATGTTATAGTGACACCCGTTAGATTGATATATGGGGCATAAATATGGCTTAATCTGTTCTCTTCGACACGGAAGTTATATTTCTTGAAGGTTCTGCAGGAAAATAAAACCTCTCGCTAAGCACACAAACCAGTTGGAGACTGTTTTAGTATTAGAACGTGTTTAAATAACACGTTAAAACAATGTAAACAACAAAAAAACACATAACATGCTCATTTTATTTTTATATATATAAAAAAGAAAACTTAATACTCCTGCTGCTAAAAAAGTAATAAATCATAAAGCTATACAGTTATATAAGGTTGACATTTACTCATTTGTTTTTGATGGGTACACTTAAGCTAAAACTTTGAGTAAACTAGCTGAAATTAGGTTTGCTTTTCAAGTAAGCCTGCAGAAAGTTACATGTGTTTGCCATTCTGGGTCTAATGGAGTAACACTGAGAATCTAACAAGTTTTAAACAGATTTTGCTCAAGTTCCAGCTGACCAGCAGTCTGCAGGAACAGATTTTGGAGGGAGGTTGTGTTGGATGTATCTCCACTTCAACACACCTGGGTCAAATAATGAGGTCATAAGCAGGACTCTGGAGAACTTAACTGCACTTAGGAGGTGATTCAGCTGTTGGATTCAAGTGTGTTGGACCAGGGAGACATCTAAGAGTTGCAGGACACCAGCCCTCGAGGACCAGGCTTGCCCACCCCTGCTTTAGATTGTTGCTGGTAACTGGCTTGTTCCTATCCGACACTCAGACAAATCTCAGGCTTGGTTTAAAAACCATAAACACAGGTTTAAAGTATACACCTGACCTTTAAATTCTCCAGATTACATTCCAGACCAGCTTAAATAGCACGCAAGTGGGATGTGATGTGATTAAGAAGTGAATCCGGTCCATTGAGACCTAACAATGTAATTTCCTTGAATCAAGGCATCTGCTGCTGATGGCTGGGTGTCTCAGGTCATTTAGCGTTAAAGTACAGCTCTGTTTTAAAGAAGTAAGAAACTCAACATTAGGTTGAATTTTTGAGGCTGGTTGATGCGTTCTCATCATTTAGAAACAAAGTCTTCACTCCCTTGAGAAATTATTCATACCTATGTCATGTCACGTGTTCATATGTATTTTTTTTACCCTTCTTCAGCCCAAGTAAAATCCTCTGAGTCTGCAACAGATGTTTCATTCAGCCAGAGAAAACTAATTACTCCACCAGAAGTAATCTAATTATAGTTTTCAAAGTCTTTTACAGCAACTCTAAACACACAACCATTGCTAAAGTTTAGTGGTTTAGATCAAAGCACATCCTCTGAAAGAACGGCACAGTCAAAGGCCAGATCAAGGTCGAACTGAAAATCTGTGGCAAGACTAGAAACATTGTTGGTGATTCATAATGATCTAAATATGACTAACCTGTGTTTCCTGTTGTTTAGGATGCTGTCTGTTTTCTAAACCTCTGAGGTTATTCAAGCACAGCTGGATTAATACTAAGATTAAATTACAGAAGGCACTAGTGGTGTTCTCTTAGTGAAATTAGTATTTTTTCAATATTCCCTCACTATTTCTAAACCAGTTACTTTGAACTTTTTAACTGGAACCCAACATGTCAGAACAATAATGTCTGCTCAGTCTGGCAATGTCAAGTCAATTTGTCAGGCGACTAAACGATACTGCAGTTTCATTACTGTCTCACGTCACTGCTTTCTGACCTTTGGTCACTACTTCCACCACCTATAAGTGATATTGCTCCATGTTAAATGTTTTAAGGGTGTATTAGGCTAAAAATGTTCATCAATAAATCCCAGAATCAAATTTCATTTTATGACATTGAATTAACGGTAGATGAGCCTCAAATTTATGATAAGTAGTGTTTTTGATTTGCTGATGACGATGTCGTGAGGGTATAAACTTGCTGTTTGTTTGATCTGGATCAAAGGTTGTTCCATGACGCAAACCTTCAATCTGCCTTCAGACAAATTGCTTATTGTTTCTTCAGTCGGCTTCGAACAACGGGGCTTAAAGTGTACAATGTATATCACACAGACCTCATTCATTAATGTATTCATTTCCCCCCAAAAATCCTATTTTAGTACTGAAACTCAGATAGAAAATGACAATGGTCTCAAATGACCCTGATTAAAAATGCATAGTTTAATTGGAATCTCTCTCACTTTTGGATTAAACTCAGTAGCATAACTTAGAATGCTTAATTTTCTTCCAAATGACCAGAAGAAATATAAATCTACTAAAATGATAAAAATGTTGTCATCGCTTGTGGAGTTGGAAATGATCATCTTCTTGCTGAGTCCACAGTTTGTGGTTTGGACCCAAAAAACTGCTGCTGCTCTTCTTTTGCAACACTGCGAGCTGACAATGTTTGAGCAGAAATGCAGCATCAGAAAGCATTGTCAGTATTTACAGACCTCATTGTAAAAATACCTAAAGCAGACCATTGTTGCACAATAGCATTAAAAAGAGAAAATCCCATTTAAAATATTTCCTGGATCCAACATTTTACTCAGTGAAATTCCTCAAAAATGAAAATAGAAACAAAATCAAAGCAGTAGGTCTTACATGGAAGGGGTGGAGATGCCAGCTCCACTCTTATTGGTCCCTCTGGTAAAAACGTGTAAAAGCTTGAGATTTTTCAACTTTATTATCAAATCTCTCAACATGTGAGGCGACAAAATAAACTCAAGTCTCCGCCCAGCACTGTTCATCAAAGTTCCTTTTGCCTTTAAATCTCTTTAATTATGTTCTCTTGTGTTTCCTGTTTTGGGATGACTGTGGGATGAAGGGAACAGTTGTCTTGCAATCAAAAAGTGGTGAGTTTGAATCCGGCTGAGCTGCTACTTGTCAAGAGACTCTTAACCTGGAGTTGCTGAGCGATCTGTGTGTCTGTGTAAGACCACTTTGACGGGTCGGTATGAATAGAAAAAGCCTCTGACTAAATTTATCTAGCAGCATTCAATACATTTGTGTTACTTCAATGAGGCGTTCCCTTGTCTTTCCCATTTTTGAAGCAATTCAAAAGACAAATATCTTTCTGAGTCGCATCATATTTATACCCTAGATATATGGATTACTAATTAAAAGTACTCAGGAACTCAGTTCAGTGAGAGAAGGTAAATGATTAACTATAAAAATGGCTGCTGTGAATTTATTTTAAATAAACTAAGGGGTGGAGGGTGAACATTTTGGCAGCAGTGATTTTGTTGAAAACAATATATATATTTTTTAATTTGGGATGTATTTTCTGTGTAAATTATGCTACTCTGATTAAAAACAGAAAAATAACTATAGTCATTGCAGCAATAAAATACACAATGTACCCTACGGGAGATCTTTCCTGCCCACAGCTATCACCATTTACAATAAAATTTAAATTATGTGGAGCTTTATATAGAGCCTACAGACACTGCAGTGCTTCTCTGTGTCAGTCAGGTGATTAAACAAGTAGCATTTATATTTATTCACTCCAGTCAAAGTGTGTGTTGTCGTCTGCAGACTCCTGGGAAGGGAGGCTCCCAGAATGCAGAGTCGGAGAAGCCCACCACTGACCTGAACCACGACCAGACGTCCGAGGTAACGATTTCCTAACGTAACGCTGGATCTGAAACGCTCCGATGTGACGTTTTTAGCGTGTGATGACGCGTTTCTGTCTCTAGGGCTTCATCTGTCCTCAGTGCATGAAGTCTCACAACTCTGCAGACGAACTCTTCAAACACTATGAGCTGTTCCACGACACTGGAGACCTCCCCGCTCATGTGGCTCCCACGCGGTGAGGCTAGTTACAGTGACCTGCAAAAGTATTCATGTTTTCACTTTTGTTCCTTCTCAAAACATGTTTTATTTTGTTGGTATTTTATGTGATAGCTCAACACAAAGTAGTGTAGAAGTATGAAATGTAGCGGAAAAAAAAACGCAGGGTTTTTATGAAAAGTATGGCATACTTTTATTTACTCTGGTACCCCTAAATTAAAGCCAGTGCAACCAGTTGTCTTGGCACGTAATTTAATTGGTAAATTGACTTAAGATGCATGTAATTTAATCTCTCTATATATGAGGGAAGCCATGTACAGTACTGTGTGTAGTATTCACACCCCTTGGACTATTTCAGATTGTCACAGAGCAGCAGCCATAGTTTTTATTCAGTGAGTGAACCAAAGATGGGCACAATTGTGAAATGGAAGAAGAATTGATTCATGTTTTCCAAAATCTTTTACTTTTAAAAATGTGTGGCAGTAAATGAACACTGCACGTCACTCGGAAAGTCTCCACTGTGAAACGCAGCGGTGGCATCATCATGCTGTGGGTAGCCAGTGCTACACTGGAACGGTTTGAATCAGCGCTCGGTTTTCATTCATCTCTCACATAAAATACATTCAAAGTTCGTGGACGTTATGTGACAAAATGTGGAAAAGGTCAAGAGGTCTGAACGCTTTTGCATGACACTGTAAGGTCGCGCCTGAGCAGCTGACCTCACCGTGGCAGAACATTGTGCTGATCCGTCTCTTTCCTCCCTTCAGTGAAGACCTCACCATGTTGCGGCAGGAGGTCCAGGATCTCCACGCTTCTCTCAAGGTGAGGTTGAAGTTTCAAAGCTGTGAGTGTCGCAGAGCTGTGACAACATCTGCTGTAAGATCTGCTTTTGTCCTCTTTTTTTTCTTATGATCAGGAGGAGCGATGGTTCTCTGGAGAACTAAAGAAAGAATTGGACAAAGTTCAAGGACAACTGAAGCAAGTAAATCCTTTAAGATATTTAGCATAATACAGTAAAGCACCGGCCCTCTGAATATGCAACTGTGTGATCAGTAAAGATGCTTTGCTTTGTCTTTCTGCTCCACAGAACGATGAACCAATAAGCGCTGAGGACTCAGGTGGCGAAGCGTTGCGTTCAAAGAACACGTTGAGATGGAGTCTTCGGTCACTTGTCGCTAACATGCTGGGTGTTTTTCTTCCTCAGCCCTCGAAAGAAAGTTGGTGGAAGCAGAGACGGAGAAGTTCAACATTAAGCAGATGAAAGACCTGTTTGAGCAGAAGGCAGCGCAGCTGGCCACAGAGATAGTAGGTCAGTGTGGGACTGGGAGACTGTGAGGTCAGAGGCTGGGGGTCAGCTAACAAGCTGAAGTTCTGTTTTTCTCAACTGCTGTCAACCTCAAAGCTGCCTTTGTGTCGTATCCACATTTTCTTGAAAGTTGTGTGGACATTTTGCTTCTTTTAAAAAAAAAAAAAAAAAAAAAAATATCTTTTTTGAGTTTTCTTGAACACACACAAAATACAAGTCCAAGTCATACAAATAAATAAATTGAAGCATTTCCTAAAAAATAATGGTAATAAAATGTGTGGATGCAACCACTCATCTTGTTGAAATAGTCTACGAAAGATTGCCGTATCACATTCGTCTCTTCTTTGTCTTTCATATCCAGTTCTACCTTTTCTACATGAATGTGTTTCATTGTATGCTCTAGACAGATTTTCCTACTTTTTAAAAGTTTCTTTAAGGCATTTTAATCGTTTGATTTCTGGAAAACATCGAATCCGTCAGACCTGAAGTCTCGCTACGACGAGGAGAAAAGCCTGAGGGAGGCTGCCGATCAGAGGGTTTCCAGTTTGAGCGAACAGCTGCAGAGGGAGAAGCAGGAGAATGAGACACTTCAAACAGAACTGGTAAACACACAAAACTCCTTCTTTTCAAGCTTCTGCTCCCAGCCCAGCAGCTCTCTGTCGGCCTCCCGAGTGACCCGGTGTCTCCGCTCTGCCCCCTAGCTGCAGCGGCCGGGAGTGGAGGACGTGGAGGTTCTGCAGAAGGAGCTGGTCCAGGTGCAGACACTCATGGACCAGATGACCCGTGAGCGGGAGGAAGAGTCCGAGCGCCTCAAAAGCCACTACACAGAGCTGCAGGCTAACTACACTACCTCAGAGGTTTGGGCGCTAAAACACCACCGCTCACTGAATCTTCACTTTTCCAGGGAGAGCTTCACATTTCTATTCAGGAAGAGCTGTGAAGTTATTACATTGTATACCGCTGCCCTGCACATTTTGCAGCTCTTAATTACCGCCTTATGAATAATTCAGGGATTTTTTTTTTTCTCTGGAGCAGAGGAGTATTTATAGCTCCATCGTGGAGCTTCAGGCTCTGAATCCTTTCTTTTCTCAACTATCAGTTCTATTTTTACCCAAGAAGCATATTCTGAATAGATTTTCTCTCTGTCGTGATTAACATCACAGTCATGTTAATGGCTGCATATGGAGCCTGTTTTTAGCAGCGACTGTTGAGCACATCGAGCTGACAAATGGCAAACGATACTTTTTACGATGCAAGATTAACAAATTGTGTCCTGTTCCTATGATGAGTTTACATACACTCACTGGCATCAATTTTAGGCTTTTATGGATGCATTCAAACAGCTAAATAGCAAGTAAACTCAATGAGTTTTTAAAACAAAAGGATATGAACGGTTTAATGTTAAATAAAGAGGAATTTGTGTTTCGCATGAATCATTAAAAAGGCAAAGACAAACGCACTAAACCCCTTTTGTGTCAAATACTCCCTTATTCCCATCAGTTTACAAACTGTTTGTCCTCCTGAAACTGAAGCTTGCCGTTGATGCTTTTTTCTGACTTACCTTCTGTCCTCGTGTCTCCTTCCCCTCCTTCCTGTGCCTCTCACTCACTGTATCCCTTCGATACACAAGATTCAAAAACTGGAGGTAAAACCGTTCGATTCAAGTCGGTCACCAATTTAATTGAACCTTTGGGAGTTTTCCTTTTCGAATGCAGATTTTTCTGTTGTCCAAGCAGTGTGAAACTTCTTTTCAAGCATTTTTTTGTGTGTGTGTGCAACCATTTGCTTTTAATTACTTTGCATTTAATTTTTTCCATCCCTTCTTCGCTGTAGTTTATTAAATATACACGCTTAAGGGTTTTTGGCAAGACTCTAACACAAGTCTGCTGATGTACAGATGACCATATCCCAACTAAAAGCCGAGCTGGAGAAGGGCCCGCAGGAAGCCGCTGTCTACACGCAACAAATCCACGAGCTGCAGGGGAATCTCAATAATTTGCAGCAACAGTGTCAGGTAATATTTACACAGCAGCAGAAGGAAACATCCATTACAGCCACGTAATCCTGAACAAATAGCCTCGGCTGGAAAATGTGTGGGATTTTACTTTTCTTTTTTATCAGCGGCCATCTTGTTGTCTGTGAGCCTCCCTTTCTGCAACTCAATGTCGCGATGCCGCTTTTAGCAACAGACGCTTGCTGACAAATATCACGGTGAGCACTATTATCAAGCCGGCAGGGGGTGATAGTTGGTTGCCATCCTTGTCAGTCAGCGAGAAATTTAACCTCTGCCAGGTAATGTGACTGGTGCAACGGGAGGAGAAGAATGTGGCGCGGAGATTAAAGTGTCGCTCATCGGGCTCAGATGTGGCCCCACGGCAGGGGGAGGAAGTGTTTGTTTACAGATAGCAGAGCGATTACAGTGGTGGGCCCTGCAGTCTGATGCCCCGTTTCTTCTGACCGTACATTGGTTTATTAGAGGCCAGTTGAAGCAACCATCAGGAGGTTAATCGGTCTCTAAATCTAACATTGAGAAAAGGAGACGCACCAAAGTAGACTTTGGTGCAGACTTCTCCGTGACTCTGTTATCGAGCTTGCTGCCAGAGCCCGGGCCGTGAAAAGAGCTCTCCGTGCAGAGGCGACGTGCCGCACTTCAGTCCGGCCTCTTGACTGTTCCTTTCCGTTGCTCCTATCACACAGGCCGTGGGAGTTCACGAGGCGCTACATCAAACTGTTTTAACTATAGACGTTTTTTTTTTTTTTTTTTTTCTTTTAGCGTGTTTCTTGTTTGCGTAAGTATGGGGGGGAAAAAATAGAATGGCATTTTTTTTTTATATATATATAAATGTCCCCGTTTCATTCTTCCAAAAATATTCAAATCTGCCCTCCTCCGTTTAATGCCGCAGTGTTATCTTGTTCAGGTGTTTGTTAGTTTGTAGGTTTTTGTTTTTCATGTCGCTGTATGTGTTTGTGTGTAAAAATGTCAGAGGTTGACAAATGGGCGATGTTATCGCAGGATGCTGAAGCAAGCGAAAGCATCTCATTATCTCAGCATGTAGTGAGATACTGAAACTGTTCTCACTAAATCAAGCTCTTGTTATCCCGACAAGTCAAACTCAACATCCCATTATCTTTACATAAGATGATATTTAGATAGATGGATAACTATATTCCCCGCAAAAGAGAAAACAAGCTCAGGGTCTCATTACTTTTCTGTAGTTGTTTGTTGAACTTATTTTGACAAGATGAGAGCTCATGGTTTTGTCAGTGTGATATAATAACAATTAACTGACTGTAGCAACAAGCTCATGGTCTTGTTTTCTTTATATAACAAGTTTGTGTACAAAAAAAAAAAAAAAATCAAGGTTGAGATTTAATAATGAGATAAGTGTGATGAAGTGAGCTCAAGGTCTCATTTCTCAATGTATTTGAAATTGTTTCCAGGACAACAGAGGCACGAAATTTCTTCATCCTGATGTGAAGCTATTATAAAACTCAACAAAACGAGCTCGAGATTTTGTCATCCCCTCATAAGGAGATAAATAATCTGTATAAAGACAACATAATAAGAACAAGATGAATGAAATGTTGGTTTCTGAGTTGCATTCTGAATCTTTTAATGCTTATAGAAACAATAACACTAAAAAGATTCATGATAAATACCTTTTGTTCTTACATGTCAGAAACTGGCTGACTATTGTATGAAATAGTTAAGATTTGTTGGAAAACAGGAAATGTGTAGGAATAAAAGACAAAGGTGCTGCGACATCATTCCTGTCAGGCCAACCACAAGAAACCCAGTCTTACTTATGTTTCTCCTCAGGCTCATAACAACGTATTCTGTTTTTGTTTTTTGTTTTTTTCCCCCCCCCCCCCCCAGAGTCTCTCTGAGAAACTCGCGCGTAAGGAGAAGGAGCTTCATGAAGTGGAGGACACTCTGGGAGCCGAGAAAGCTGCCAAGAAGGGCGTCCAGGACAGCCTGAGGGAGCGGGACTCGGAGGTGCAGGAGCTCCAGGCTCGAGCCGCGGCGGCCGAAGCGTCCCTTCAGAAGGCCCAGGCCGAGCTGGCGGAGAGGGCCGAGGAGGCGGCCAAGCTGAGGAGCGAGGTAGCAGAGCTGGAGGTGAAACACGCAGAGCTGAAGGTGGAGAGGAAGCAGCTGGAGCATCAGAGGGAGGAAAAAGAAAGCCAAGGTGCCCAGCAGCAGACGGAGATCAGTCAGGTGAGATCAGCAGCGTGCAGAACAAAAGCTGTGTGCAGACAGATTTAAAAAAACAAAACAAAACAAAAACAATAGTCATTCAGATCAAAGCTCAGCTCACACAGCACTCCTTAATCGCCATGTCCTGTATGTTGAGACAGAGTCCCCTGTATCGACTCGGACTGCATTATTGTACAAGCTCAGCGTTTGAGTCGCAGCTATGCAGAACGAAAAGGCTCAAGGTTCTGGAGGTGCTAGCAAGTTCTTCTCTCCATTTCTAATCTTTCTGTCTCGTGTTTTCACACTTCCTGGCGCTCCTGCAGCTGCATGCCAAACTGCTGGAGGCCGAGCGGCAGGTAGGCGAGCTGCAGGGCCGTCTGAAGGAGCAGAGGCAGCTTTCTGGAGAGAAACTGAAGGACAGAGAGCAGCAAGCGGCCGACCTCCAGTTCAAACTCTCCCGAACTGAAGAACAGGTGGGAATGTGAAACTTTCCCGCAAGGTTTATTCTTGTTAGTCGATCAAGGGAAGACAAGTTGATCTTAAAATGGCGTATTTTGGGGAGAAAAATGAACAAACATTCACTGTGTTTTACTTCAGCTAAAGGAGAGCTGCAGTAAGAACTCGGACCTGCAGCACCAGCTGGAGAAAGCCAAGCAGCAGCACCAGGAGCTTCAGGCGCTGCAGCAAAACACCAACGGCAAACTGCGGGAGGCGCAGGTACTGCACAACAACACACACTCTCATCTGAGACTGGAAGGCCAAGAGAGAACAGATTTTTATTCACAGTGCCAAAGTAATAACATAAGTTGCTCTTGTTCACATGTTGTCTCTATATGAACACAGACGATGGGTTTTATTTGGGGTTTTATGGTCGACCAACACGCAACGGTGCTTACTTTTAAAGTGGAAAGAAAAGGATGCAATAACAGGAGTGGCATCCGTTTTGTTTTTAGCCCCTTTGATTTGAAACTTTTGAAACAGTAACATGTAGAGCCTGACATTTTTACCCATTCTTCTTCGCATTTTATCCTGAGCTCGGTCTGACTGAAAATCTCTGGACATATTTGAAAAATTGTCTTCAGGGAGGCTTTCTGTCAAGTTGGATTTAGGTCTGGACTTTCATTAGGCCATTCTAATACATGAACACGCATGATATAAGAGTTTAGCTCCTGCTCTGTTTTGTGTCGCACAAAACGGAGCAGGAGGAAACTAAACCTGGTGCCTCAGGTTCAACTCTCGAATCCCCACAGCGTGACGCTGCAGCAGCAGAACTAAATACAAAATGTTTCCTTGCGTCGTTCTGCAGAATGACTTGGAGCAGGTGCTGCGTCAGATCGGGGACAAAGACCAGAAGATCCAGAACCTGGAGGCTCTGCTTCAGAAGAGTAAAGACACTGTGACCCAGCTGGAGGCGGAGAGAGAGGATCTGTGTGCCAAAATCCAGGCTGGGGAGGGAGAGACGGCGCTCCTCAACCAGCTGAAAGAGAAGAACCACGCACTGCATGAACAGGTGGAGACCTGCACCCTCTGCACTCCTCTGTGGTCTTCGTCCTTTCCACGATTGTATCACGATGTTCTAAACGTTTCTGTGCTCATTTATGTTAATGTCTGTAAATCAAAATCTTTGATTTCTAGGGCTGTAATTAATTATTTTAGTACTGCATTCGATTTATTCCATCAATTTTTCTGATGATTGATCAGATAGAAAATTGGTAAATTATGTCGGTTTTTCTTTTAACCCCTTCAAATAAAAAAAATACTAATTGTAAAATGCAACAACGTAGCAATCCTTTAGTGTACACTTGATCATTTGCAGCAAACGATGCATCTGCAGCTAAAGGGGAAAAAAATCCTTCTAACATCAGCATGTGGAAAGCTCAACCCGTTCTGTTTGACCTAACATTGTTAGGCTGATCTGTTGATCATTTGTTTTTGGATTAACCAATAAAACGGTACTTAAGAGATTTTTTTCACACAATTTGAACCAGATGAAGCTTAAATTGTTTCCTGTGGAGTTCTGGGTACAACATATTTATTTATTTTTTTATGTTAAATGCAAAATGTATATATATATTTTTTTTTTTGTACAGATTTGGCTTCATTACTACTCAGGGATATTCTTATCGCTAACTCCAGTTAACGATTAATCGATAATTAAGTCTGTTCACGATTACTTCAGTGATCTCCTCATCACGATTGATCCGATCAATCGCTTCGGCCCTAATTCTTTCGTACGGGACTTTTAAAGGTTGCGCAGTTGACGGACAAGCTGAAGAACCAGTCGGAGAGCAACAAGCAGGCCCAGGACAACCTCCACAAGCAGGTCCAGGAGCAGAAGACTCAGCTGCGTTCAGCCCAGGACCGAGCGCAGACCCTGGAGACGTCCGTCACCGAGCTCACCGCCCAGCTCACTGACAGCAAGGAGAAAGTATCCCAGCTGGACGCTCAGGTGCGCCTGTCACTCGAACGAGGGTGACTTTTAACTCAAAACGTCCATCGGTCCGCTGTCCCGTTGGACTAACGAGTTTTTTCCATTTGTCTGTTTTCCTTTAGCTGAAGGCCAAAACAGAGTTGCTCCTGTCTGCAGAGGCGGCCAAGGCCGCGCAGAAGGCCGACCTGGAGAACAGCCTGGAGGCGTCTCAGCACGCTCTGCAGGACAAACAGCAGGTGGGTTTTTTTCTTTGCGCTGATTATTTATTTATTTATTTATATTTCTATGCTAAAATCCAACTGCTTTACCCCCTTTTGTTTCCTGAAACAGTGGCCTCTTAAGTTTTCTGCGGTGTCTCCTGTCTTTCCGCTCTGGATTTTCGTATAGCCGCCTTCTAATGTCCTTGATGTGTCGTGCAGGAGCTGAGCGAAGCGCAGAAGAGGCTGGAGGATCAGGCCCAGAGGCTCAGAGACAGACAGGAGCAGAGTGCCCAGCTGGAGAGCAGCCTGAAGGAATGTAAAGACAAACTGCTGGCCTCAGAGCAGCGGGTGGAGCAGCTGGAAGGGCTCAGCAAGGTTTGTGTTAGAAACACGATCGCAACCATTGGCGGCGTGCGCTTTAAAAACCAACCATTTGATTCGAACAGAAACTGGAGTCTCAGGCGGCGGAGGTGCAGACCGCGAGAGATCAGCTGCAGCTGGAGGTGCAGAAACTGCAGAAGGAAAGTTCAGAGGTGAAACAGAAAGCAAAGGAGCTGCAGCGCTCCCTGGAAACAGAAAAGGAAGGGTGAGCTCAGAAGAAACGCATTAAATCTTCACTCCTGAACGTTTGGCTTTTTTAACATCTCTGATGTGTTTGTCTACACTTAGAACGAAGAGTCTGCATGAGGAGCTGCAGAAAAAGGCTGCGGCTGCGAGTGGCGTGCAGCAGCAGCTGGAGCGCTGTGAGCAGGAAATGGCGGCTCTGAAGGTGAACCTGGACAAGGTGACCCAGGAGGGACAGAGTCGGCAAGCGGAGCTGAGCAAGAAGGCTCAGAGTCTGGCTGCAGAGCTGCAGAAGGCCCAGCAGGAGAAGGAGGCGCAGAGGAAGGAGCTCGGAGCGACTCAGGAGAGCCTGCAGAAGGCCAACAAGGCTCTGAAGGAGAGTCAGAATCAGCTGGAGGCCGACAGGAAGAACCATAAATCAGCCATGGAGGACAAGGTGGGTTCGACCTTCAACCCTGATCAAATAAATAACCACTAGCGTAAAAAAAAGACAAAACAGGAACTGAAAGCAGTGTTCTGCTCTAATCTTCAGGACAAGTCTAACGAAAAGACAAGAAAGGAGCTTTTGAAAACTAACGAGGCCATCACTAAGAAAATGAACGAATCGAAGGAGCAGCTGGAGCAAACGAGAGAGGTAACGCTCTGAAAAAGCAGTCAGTCGAGCTTCACCGTTTCAGGTTTTACTCATAAGGTGATTCCTCAAATGCCAGGCGGAGAAAACGTTGAAGGCGCGGCTCACGTCATTTGAGCAGCAGCACTCACAGACTCGGGGGACGCTGAAGGCAAAGGAGGAAGAGTTGAAGAAGTTGCAGGACCAGCTGAAGACAGTTCGGGGATCCATGGAGGAGGAGGCGAAGAGGCTGAGCGGCCAAGTGGCCGACCTGCAGGAAGCGGCTGTCAAGAAGGTGAGGATCTTCTGTAATGTTGACGAGCAGCTTTGAAACGACGCACAGGGAGGATCCGAGCATACGTTTGTTTGATTCTCCTCTCCAGGCAGAAGAGGAGAGGAAACTGACGGCTCGGGTGTCGGAGCTCGGCCAGGATCTGACCGCTGAGAGGAGCCGGGCGGCGGAGCTGCAGCAGTCACTGCAGCAAAGCCAGGAAAACCTCTCAAAGCTTCAGTCCGACTTTTACGGCAAAGACTCTGAGGTTTCCTCTCTGCGTCAAGACCTGAAGGTGCAAAAATCACCACATGCAAAACCAGGTTCACAGTGCCCAGCAGAAAAAGGAGTCCTTTTAACATTTTCAGCTATTTTTTATTTTTTTTGTATTTCATAGGAATTTTATATGCTCAGCTAGTTTTACCACCGTACAATTGCGCTGTACAATGGCTGCTGCAAAACCCAAGTGTTTCGTTGACTTGACATCCAGAAACCATTTGTTGCATTTGCGTTGGTAGTGCGGGAGGCTCCACTTCTGCTTTTCAAACATGTACGGTTGCATAAATGCACATCTGTTTAAGTTGGGGGCGTGGCCAAGGGCAGCTTATTTGGATTTAAAGTGACAGGAGGCCCTAAAACAGTTGGTTCTGAAAGGAGCTCAAAACATGCAGAACTGAGCAGATTCTGCTAAGAATGATTTTGTGATTAGACTTATCCTAAACTATTCAAGAAAGCATGATAGGTCACCTTTGAAAAGAAAAATACATTTAAGGTCCTCGTTGTGACGTGACAAAGTGTGCATACTTTTCTGCGGTCTTGCACAAACTGAGAGATGTTCTGTGTCTCCAGAGCTCAGAGGAGAAGCTGAGCATGGCTCAGGAGGAGCTGGCCGCCAATCGGACGCATCAGTCGGCTTTGGAGGCTCAGATCCAGGAGCTGAAGGCGGCCCGGTCCGCACTGGAGCAAGAACTCTCCAAACGGCACCAGACGCTCCAGCAGCAGGAACAAGCCCTGAAGGAGCTGCAAAAGCAAGAGGTCGGTCGAAGGGTTTGAACAGCAATGCTCACGATTGCGTTGTCATAATTTGCTAAGCGTGTGAGAACTGACGCAGGGTCAAGTTAAGGAGGAACTGCAGAAGGAGAGAAGCAAGGCGGAGGAGCTGAACAAAGCCAAGAGCGCGCTGGAAAAGAACAGCAGCAAACTGACCTCTGACCTGAAAACGCTGGCGGAGAAAAGTGAGAAGGTGGGTCAGCTCTTCACGACGTCAGCGACGTTTTAAACTCATCATCAGCTCAACTCAGCAGTCAGTGGGCTCAACTGGGTCTGGATTTCTTTGTTTTTTTTTTTGTTTTTTTTTACCAGTACACTTTTTGTGTTTCCATGCAGAGTGATGTCAGCCCACCCAGGCGGCCATTTTGCTTGACATGCATGTTTTATCACTTTGATTTCAGGTCAACGCTATGACGAAATACTTGGGCTAGTCTAAGTTTTTTTTTTTTCTTTCTTTTTTTTTTATGACCAGAACAACAACAATAGAGTCGAAATAATACCAGAATAAAGCCATAATATTAGGAAAAGAAGGATTAATCTCATGAGAACTTTTACACAAAAAGTCGAAAGTTAAAATAAGAAATGTCGAGCATCTTGTGACGTTAATGCGTAATCTTTTACCACATCAGTATCAAATCATTATCAGTAACAGGACTTTGAAATGATCATGCAAACAAATCAGTATTTTGAAGAAGGGGAACCACACGGACTGAGCTGCTCACACCAGACTGCGATAACTCTAAAATTACGTCTTCACTCAGCTAGTAATGATCGTGTTCTCGTAATTACCGTAAAGAAAAATTATCGTCCCTGAAGGGATGATTGAAATCAGTCACTTTTTAAAAATATTTTTGGTCTTTTGTAATGGTGTTTTTTAGAAAATAATGTGGGGGGGAAAAAATGATTAAAATTGGATATGTTATGAAAAAAAAATACTAGTGGAAAGCCGTTTGAGTATTGATTAGGGAAACACTTTATAAATTCATTTATTGTCATAAACACATGGTGATCCTTTGTTGAAAGCACCTGAACCTTTGTTAACAATTCCTCCTTAGGAACTAAGAGAGTTGCAGGAAGCCAAGCAGCTGCTGATCCAGCAGAAACTGGAGCTGCAGGGTCAAGTGGAGGCCGCGCAGGGGGCGCTCAAGGAGGAGCAGAAGGAGCACCAGGTCACCAAGGACAACAGGAGCAAGCGAGAGCAGCAGCTCCTCGCCCAGACAAAGGAAGTCCAGGACCAACTCGTAAGTCCCCCCTCCACGTGAAACTCAAGTGGAGGAAACGGATCGCGTCTTCTAGCGATCCGTTTCCTCTGCTCTCCTTCTGCAGGCGGCGGAGAGGAGAGCCAGAGAGGAGCAGGTGAAGCGCGGGGAGGAGGCTGAGGCTAAGCTGAGCGTGCAGGTCACGGCCCTGAATGAAAACGTGGCCACGCTGAAGAGGGAGTGGCAGAGCAGCCAGCGGAGAGTCGGCGAGCTGGAGAAGCAGACGGACGAGCTGAGAGGGGAGATCGCTGTGCTGGAGGCCACGGTCCAGAACAACCAGGACGAGCGGCGGGCTCTTCTGGAGAGGTCAGGGCACACGTGGAGAGGAGGTTTTCAGTTCTATCTACGTGTGCCCTTTCACACATGTAAAAATGATGAGGTGTTTCACAAAGGCTGCTTTTTAAATGAGTCCAGAAGACGAGGCGGGAACAGCAGAATCGTTCCACAGAACAAGGTGAACGATTCCCTCCTGTCTTAAAGCCGCTCCTTTATTCCGTCCATTCTGTTCTTTTTCATCCTTGTCTTCACTCTGTCCTCCTTTTATGTTTTTTTATCACTGCTCTGTGTCCATCCTACTCTTAGTTCATCTGCCCTTTCTTTCTTTTTCCTCACTCCCTTCCTTTGTTGAGTCCTTCTTTTCCTTGTTCCCTTGCCTTTCTTTCCTTCCTTCCTCTTCCCTCCGTGTTCTACCTTGCCGTCTTTCCGTCTCGTTGTCTCCTTCCTTTTTGGTGTCTACCTTCACTTGCATTCCTGTGTCCTACCTTTCCTCCTTCATTGTGTCTCTTTTCTTTCTTTGAAGGACGATCATAATTGGGACAAAATGACAAAAGAAAGTGCAGGGTATAAACAAAGAGAAAATATTAGCCCTGATCTTCTTATTTTTACTCTTGGACAAAGAAAGTTGTTCCAGTCAGACTTTGAGGATACAAACAAGAGAGACGATCTGACTTTTGGTAAACGGCTCTGCAGCGACAACTAGTTCCACAGCACAGTCCGGTTTAAAGTCTTCATAAAAAGTGGATTTAAATCTGTCCAAATCAGGAGGAGAAATCAAAAAATAGAAAACCTCTCATCCCTCCGAGTAGCATATACGCCTATTAGTGATCTGCGCCGTTTGCCCTGCAGGTGCGTCGCGGGTGAAGGCGAGATCGAGAAGCTCCAGGCCAAAGTGGTGGAGCTCCGGAGGAAGCTGGACGACACCACGGCGGCCATGCAGGAGCTCGGCAGAGAGAACCAGTCGCTCCAGGTGAGCCGGCCGCGCTGCGCTTGCAGCTCACAGGCGGGTCGATGGCGTTGCTCCCCGAGTCTGACTGCTGCTGTCGACGCCCACAGATCAAACAGTCGCAGAGTCTGACCAGAAAGTGGGCGGAGGACCACGAAGTCCAGAACTGCATGGCCTGTGGGAAGGGCTTCACCGTCACGGTCAGGAAGGTGAGAAACCCCCTCGTTGTTCCCGGCGAGAGACGCGTTCTGCTTCCCGTTTGTCTTTACTGAGTGCCCGTCGTCTGCCTCCCTCCCTCCCTCCTTCTCTGCGTCCGCAGCACCACTGTCGACACTGCGGGAACATCTTCTGCGGCGAGTGCTCAGCGAGGAGCGCCCTCACGCCGTCCTCCAAGAAGCCCGTTCGGGTTTGCGAGACGTGCTTTGAGGAGCTCCAGGGCTGATCCTCGGTGTTCTCCTGCCCCTCAACTCCCTCCCTTTAACCCTTTATATTCCAGCGGGCAGAAGAAGGCTAGTCTTTGTCATTTTTTTAAATGTGCACTAATGAGAGACCGCCCCAGCGCAAAAAAAAAAAAAAAAAAAAGACTCCCATTTGCATAGGCCGTCCGGCCGCGGTGCAGAGGAGACGCGGCGGAGATGCAGTGGGATCAGCTGGGACCGTCCGTATCTGTTTTTGTGCCTTTTGCTCCTCCTGTGGACTGCCAGAGAGCGGAGGCGGGGTGGATCCGCGCTCACCTCCTTTAAGTTCGTATTCAGGCCTCCATCGGTGTTCGGCATCGTCGGCAGTTGTGAGGTGGCTGCTTTGATCTTTGCTCGTGTCTGTTAGCGTCACGCTGCTCCGGGGCGTGAACCGACTCAGCTCAGTGCAGCTCTGCCATACAAAGATAAATGCAAGTAACTTATTATTTGCTTGTAATTATACAACTCTATTATAGAACTCTTGAATTCATGCATTCGAGGTAAGAAAGAACTACCTATAAAAGTATCATTTAGGAAAAGAAAAAATCCTGTTAAGCATATTTAGGTTCTGAAAACTGCAGAAAAAGCTGGACTGGTCTGTCTTTTCTAGGCCAATAACCAATTCCCACTTCTGATAGTGACATTTTTTTCCCATAAGGACAAATATTAATAGAAGAAAAGTATCCTGAAGGTACTTTGGTATCAGTAGAGGCAATTAATCCTATGGAAAGTGAAGAAATTCCAAAAATAATGGAGCAGTGCAAATGTCCCAAACTTCTGTTTGGTGCAGAAAAGCACATTGATGCATTTATTGACCAAAAATAGTGTTAGTTTTTAGTAGAATAAGAACATTCTGTCTTCTGGTTTTATCTGCAGATCACACCTGTCTCATTAAATAATTACAGCATATAAATTGTCACCTTAAAGTCATAAAGCTACATCTGAAGTATTATAATTTCCTCAGTGTTTTCACTTAACTAAAAATCAATTTTGGGTTCTAAAAATTGCATTTATTTTCAGTTTATTCTATTAACTACAGTTTTGATCTATTCCATTTTTTAATTTTGTTTCTGAAGATTATAACGCATAAAAAAAAACCTGAAAATGTTCCGGATTCCCTCACAGCCGGTGCAGGAGATGATCTCTAAAACACATTTTGGTCCACTTTGTTGATGCACTTATGAACTGAAAGCGGAGAGAGTTATTAATTTTGGTGAATTCAACGGACAACAAAAGAAATGATCTGATTTCTTTGTGTTTGACTTTCTATGTTGGGAAAATTGGCTGAGTCTCATCCCTGCCCAACGGATTGGTGCATCTCTGCTTAGATGGTAAAAGCAGAAATAACTAAACATGTCTTGGTGTCAGCTGAAGTGTTTATTTTCTATATGTAAATTTTATGAAATAAACACTCAAATTAGGCCTTTTTAACATTTACAGTGTTTATCTTTTTCATGATCTTCAAAGATCAGTCGTCTTGTCCAGAACCTCTCATGTCAGTTACTTCCTGTTCTCTTTGTATGGCAGCATGTTTCCTAATCTGCAGAAATGTATGTACTGAGTTCATTTCATGACCAAAGAATGTCTGCAGCAGAGTTTGTAATGTGTCAGTATTTGCCTGAAAGCGTTTGAGTTGTGACATTTTTATCGTGAGTCTTTTTTGTTGCTTTGTCACTTGATTGCGTGTGTGTTTATTATCTTCAGGTTGTGGTAATGCAGTAACTGAAGGTGCCTCCATGTTTTAATTTGGTCTTTTCTGCAGTCCAACAGCACTGAATGTGTTTGAGTGTGTGCTCTCTGCTTTGAAGCAATAACTGTAGTGATGTGTGCGTGCGTGCGTGCGTGTGTGTGTGTGTGCGTGCGTGCACGGTCATGCCTGCTGCATGAATCCTGGCTGCTCAGAAGCTCGGCATCTCTCCGACTCGAGGTTCAGGAACTGCTGCCTTCAGGTACAGCAGTGACCGTCGGTTCTCTGTCCAGCTGAGAACACTGTAAAGCTAAATTCCTGCTATTTTAATTTATAATTGCTTGCGAGTTCTGATGGGATCTATTGTACTTTTTGGTTTTCTTTTTTTGACTGGAGCAAGTGGAAACACTGTAAAACCGATTATGCACAGTATTCTGCAGCAAGCGGTGTGTCTCAGATTTACCAAATTAGCTCTTTTTGCTTGAATGATCATCAGACATGAATGTCCATTTCACCTTCTGAAAAATCTTTTTTTTTTTTTTATGTTAAATTGGTTTCATGCCTACCTCAGTTCGACTGAGAAAACGCACTATTTCTAGACGATGGACGTCACAAAGGTATCACTACTTGCATCCGATTCAGGATCTAGGACTGGTGAGAGGTTTTGCACCTTACCCCACCTACTCCAGGCCCGTCTTTGCCAGGCTGCAAACATAGGACAACCAACTTTATACAGGCTTCAGCATTTCCTGCTTATTTACTAATGCCGTCTTAGTTATCTTTGTAAATGTTCGTAATGAGAGAGGTAAATCGTTTCCGTGTGGCCGTAGAGATGTGCAGTGAAACAGTGTTTGGATTCATCAGTGTCTCACTCATATTTACAAAGCGATACCACAGACTTTTGTGGCTTCATGCGTCGCTGTCGGTTGTCGTGCATGACGGCTTTACTTTTCACTTTGGTGGACGTACCTGGTGGTTGCTAAGGTGTGCCTGAGGCCAGGTTCCTCTGCTGCTTGCTGAGATCTTGTACAGTCTGGGCGGCTTCGTTTGACCTGCATGGAGGGATGAGGTGGTGTACTCTGTGTTCACATGCGCCATGTTGATTTTCTTTTTCATTGACAAGTGTAAATAAAAAAAACCTGCAGTATGTTTCTAAAGGTCTGCGATGTGCGTTTTTCTTTAGGTTCTTGTCTGAAAATTGTCCACTTGTCTATTTTAGGTGTGTCCAGGAAATGACAAATAGTGAGCTGCTCATTGTCCACAGCATGATGCTGCCACCGCCATGTTTTTACAGTGGGGATGCTGTATTTTTCAGCATGTTTCCCGTCAGCCGAGTTCTGCTCAACACTTCGTCTCCTTTGGATTTTTCTTTCGTGAACTCGTTCATGTACTTTGGATTCCTAAATTCTGTCTGCAAATTTTTACACCTGAGCTGCTAATCTCTGCAACTCCTCCAAAGTCAACATTGGTCTCTTATTTAAAGGGTTAAACAGTATTCACGGATCTTCAAATCCTTAAATATTTCATAACCTAACCTTGTAATCATTTTGATATTCAACAAATGTTAATTTGGTTTGCTTGCAAACATTTTAGTTGATTTGGAAAAAATGTCAACTTTTTTCTTCCATCATAGCCTGATTATGTATTGATGCTTCTATATCAAACTTTCATAAATTTAGTATTTGAATTTTTATTTTAAAAAGCTTCCCTTGAGTCAAATTTGGCAAAAAGAAATCTAAGAAAAAACATGTAGGGAAATACAATCTGAAAATCCTCCAGCAGAAGTGAGAAAAAAAAAAAAGAACCAAATAAATCATAAGAATTTATTGTACACTAACACATTAGCTGCCTTTAAAGGCACACAGAATTTACAAAATAATCCTAGTGTTGGAGCAGTCATTGTGACGGACTCCTAGGGACAGTGAAGTGCACATTGACATCGTTTCCAGTGGCTTGAAGTGCTGCTGGATGGGATCAGATCTGGGAGGACTCCAGCCACAGGGAGGAGCTCTTGACTCGCGGCTGCTGAGAGTCCAGCTTCAGCAGCGCCGCCACAGCGCCCTCTAACTTCGTCATCCATTCCCTCTGGAAAAGTTGCACAAGGAGGAGGTCAGGAGCAGAAATAACAGCAGCTATGTGTAAGAATTGAGCACAAACTCTTTGTATTATTGCTTCTGTGTGAACAAAAGGCAAAACTAAAATGGGAAGATGCATAATTATTAAGTTACTGGTAATCAAGAATGTAAGCAATTTACATTTTACAGACAAATGTAAATTCTTTTTAGATTTTTCATAGTAACACAAGGAACTACATAACTGTAAAAAATAAAAATCTGAAAAGTGTGGCATGCATTTGTATCCAGCCCAAAAAAATGTTCATAAAAAGGTCCATGAAGCTAATTGGAAGTTCCACTTGCTCTGGTCGAGTGAGAGCAAAATATACATTTTTAATCTACATGCAGTATGGGTTGCACAGTGAGCCCGTTGTCAAAAAGAAGACCTGTGGTTTGAATCATCACTCTCCATCCAATTTGAATGAGCTCAAGCTGGATGAAAAGCTGGCAGAACCGGGGTCTAACCACTGACTCCTAGACCGGTACCAGAAATGTGTAGTTACTTAAGCAGTGCAGACAAATGAATGTGTGAGTGGTTTTATTTTGAAAAACCCAGAAACATCCACGTGCTTCTTTTGATGTGCTTGAGAAACATTAGGATATGGAGTGAAAAAGAGAAGGAAGAGGATCATGTCGGCCACCATGGAGAAAATACGACTCGCCCTCCACAGGTCTGATCTGTGGCTGGAGACCCTAACCCTAAAAGACTTGCAGCTGTGTTTGCTACCAAGTGGAGTAGTGGTGCTACTCTGAAGCACAACTAAAGCTGACTCAGGGGTGAACACGAACGCATACAACAGTTTTCATATTTCCATTTGATAAAAAATAAAACGACATAAAACCTTTTACTTCACAATTATGGATTACTTTGTCTAGGTCTGTTTTGTGGTTTTCTCAGTTTTCACATTTTGTTTGCATAACATTGCCAAAACTATTGACATTTTCCTTCCAGTCTTTTACGTGCATGCCATTTGAAACTTGTCATAAGTTCAGGCTTGAACTCATCTACCTTGGCAGACTCTGACGCAGCTTGAAGGATGAACGCACCGATACACTGTTGGTACCGGTTGTGGTGCATTATGATGAAAGAATGTGGCAGCCCTGATGCTGTGAACAAAGCAGAAAGTTCTATCATCAGATACAGAAAGTAAGAGCGTGTGATGTTTTAATTGTTCAATCTTCTCTGCTAAAATATGTAGAAAAACTCTGCATCAGGTGTAGTTACTGGAGGCGTTTAGCTGATCAATGTTCCTGAGCTGCAGTCGATCCAGAGAGATGGGCTGATCGAGAACCGTGAAGGTGCATCCCTCCTTCAGCAGCTGGTCCAGCTCCAGGTTCTGCTGCAGCCTCAGGTGGTTCTGCTCAGAACTGACAGACCTCTGTGCGCAAAGTCAGAGCAAGAAAAAAAAAAAAAAAAACGGGAACAAAGTTCAGATACATGACACTCTCCACAGAGCATCTCCCACTGGCCCAGAACAGAACAAGATGGGTGCATACCTTCTTGCTTCTCTTTATCTTTGTGATCAGCAGGAATTCATCAAACAGGAACAGATAAACATCGATGAGCTTTGTATTCTCTAGTGATGAACCAAAGAGAGACATTCTAAGTTTCTGTACAATTTCTTTTTTTAAAAAAGGACATGAACAGTGTTGGGTTTGGCCAACGGTAGACACCTGTAAGCACCAGCTTCCCTTCGTTCAGCAGACTTCTGTGGGAGATCAGATTGTCCAGAGTGACGGCCTTCAGGAGATGTTTCAGACTCTGGAAAAGAAGCAGATCACATCAGACCTGAGCTCCTGACAGGATCAGCAAAGCTAAAAGATAAACAACTTCAAATGTGGAATCAGATATTACTTATCACATTTTACACATAAGTGATGTTTGTGACAATCATGTGTGATGATCAAACATTAAGATGTTAAAATATATGCCAATCAAACGAACCTCTGGGATGAAGGCACGTTTGTCTCTTTCCCAAACCGGCAGCCACACCAGCGCATCTCTCAGCTGTTTCACCTTCTGGTAATTATCCAGCCACTTGACCTTCCCTTCCAAATCACCTGGAAACAGAAGAGCCACAACTTAACATCTAACAAGGACGAAGATTACATTTTCAGTAAAAACAATGCTCCTTTAACAAGACTGAAATAATGTGAAATGAACCGTTTGAATGAACACCAAGAAGCACCATCAAACGTTAATGCAGCATACGAGGAGCAAAACTTCCATAACCAATAAACTTAGTTCATTCCTTAATTTAAAATAACCACAGAAACAAAACATTATGAATTTTTAAGCAAACCTCTCAATCCATTTGACTTAAGGGCAAAAGTATGCTTTAATTTGTAAAGTTTAAAATGAATTAAGGGGGAACATGGCTATAAAAGAAAGGGTGCATCATCCTGAATAAATGCAACATATTAAAAACAAAAGAATCCATTGTACATATTAAATAAATAAAAATGCTGTCTCTTAAATAATTTTGCAAAACAAGGTCGTATAAAACTGTAAATCACAATAAAAATAAATTGATAAAACTTGCAGAAATGTTGATGAGCCTGCAAGTCACAAATACACATCAGAACCCATGAATGAGATTGGAGAAATGTTTTGAATAAAACATTTCTGCCGATTTAGATTTACTGCAAAAGACAATATATAAACCAAAACTGGATTGTCTTATTTCTGGTAAGTTAAAAATAATTTTGCACATTTTTTTGTGTGAATTTAATGTATAAAAGTTTAGTTCAGTCACTCATTGTCAACAAATTCACACCAATATAAAAAAAATATATATATATTTCTGTCAGAGCTACAATAACTGCTCTAAACTCTTAAATGTTTACCGGGTGTCTAATTTTTTTGTAAATATGTTTGTACTGTTTAGAGTGAATTAAAGGATTTTACAAAAACTTGGACGGCATCACCATTTTTACCTACACCGACAAGGAAATGCAGCATCTTTTTAATCATACCTAAGGCTCATCACAGAGACAAGATTGCTAATAAATCTTATCTAACTGTACTCATTTGTGCATGGTGATGCCAAACACGGGTGTGGCTGAATTTCGTGAGAGATTACAGATTTTATGGTAAACATTCCCCACGCCCAGAGAGGACATTGGCCGATATATTTCACCCATGACCACAAAACTCCCATCTGCTGTTCCTTTTCGTCACAGCCATTACAAAAGGTGTGCTTGCAGGAGCATGCGTCTCAGAAAAGAGGCGGTAAGCAACTCGGTATTAAGTCCATGTGGGTTTTCTGTACAAAAGAACCAAATGACATCAAAGTGAACGCCTGCTGCACATTTTCCTGTCCTGGTTGCAGAGAGAAGTGCCACAACAGGTCCGTTGGCTGCTGTCCAACACAGCCGAGTAACCTGCTCTTAAAGAAAACTGGTCTGTAACCATTCTGACACCTGCCACACATGCCATTTGTGTTCAAATAGAATTGAAAACACCTGCACAGATATGCTGATGAAACCCAAGTGAGCGACAACACTTTGATGTCTGGCGACTGAAGATGTGGCAAAAAAAGAGAGAAAAGATCTGATTGTTTTCTAGCAATCTAATGTACAAATCCTACAACAGTTTTTTTTTTCAGCCAGAGATAAAGTCAAACGCTCAGAAAGGTTGATGCATATTAAAGATGAAGACATTCAGAGGAAAGGTGTACGTGCTGCTCACATATAGATGTGTCCACTTTGTCAGCTATAACCTGCAGCTCCCTACTTTCCTCCAACACCTGACATCTCTTTGCGATGTTCCTCAGCAGCAGCGGGTATCGGGTTAGCCGCTGCAGAGGCGCCACCAACAGGTCGCGTAGCTGCAGCCTCCGGCACTGTTCGCTCCTTTCACACCACTAAGCAGAAAGCAAGGAGACAAAGAAAGGATTCATGAGAAGAAGACGGCAGAGTGGAGACAAACATCTCGTAGTAAATGAACCACTGTTTGGAACAATAGTGCAGAGAGCTAACTTTTAAGGAGGGAGATCCCTCTAGGAAGCACATTTCAACAATCAGGAAGGATAACAAGATGCAAAAGGATGCCATTCCTCATTGGTAGGACTGTGAGACACCGAACTAATTGTTTAAAAGAAGCGTTGCTGGGTGTCCTCGCTCATACTTGGCACACACTACCTACAGTCAAAGGTACACTGCGTTCTGGCATTTGCTGACTGACACAAACAAATCAGCTTCTGCCTGAACTCAGCCGTCTCCTGTACCTTTACGTATGACCCGAAGTCCTCCCTGGGCATCAGGTTGTGCAGATAAAGCAGCGCTGCTGAGTAGTTGAGGCAGTACTTCTCCAGACAGTGACATATGCTCTCCTCAAAAACCTGTCAGCAGATTGAGAAGTTATATTCAATCTGATGTATGATGGGTGATCAGACTCCATGTAATTCATGGGCTTCACTGTTTATGTATTTAGTTATTGTTTTTAAAGATATTCAGAGGCACTTGCAGTTCACATCTTTCTTAGAGCATTTTTGAAAAACAGCAGTGAGAAAAAAATTGTTTTAGGATTACACATAGCACCAACCTGAATTTTAGAGTAAGACAAACTAAAGCAGCTGCATTGAAATGCAGCTGGATGTGCAAAGCCATCAGTTCTACATCTTCACACACAAACAGTGCGTGTAAAAGTCTGCTGTCACAGTGTACACACACACACACACACACACACACACACACACACACACACACACACACACACACACACACACTCGCCTTGCTCAGCAGCTCCAGCAGGGTCGGCCCGTCCCCTTGGGTAACACTCAACAAGTTCTTGATGACACGCAAGAGTTTGTTCAGGAAACTAAAGCTGATCTGCACAGGAAAAAGAAACGGCAAGTCAGGTGTCACTGAAAGGCCAAGAGGCTAAGTTTTCAGTCTAACATGACTGGCATTTCTGGACACATTTTTAATATGATCGTTATTTTTTGGTTTGACCTTGGTCAAAGTTCAAATCAAGTACAGGAGCGAACAGACTAATCACATTTTCTAAAATGAAAACATGCACCAACCTGACAAAAATTATAAGCGCTTTTTATTTACTTACTGTTTTAATTCAACATGAAGAATCTAAACGAGAGGATCTAAACTGTTTCTGTCTGCCACATAAATATCTGATGTATACAAGTTTGAAAAACAAATATATATATATTGCTATAAATTTGACTTCGTTATTCACACATTGTTTTTCTACATACTTTTTTGATAATTATCCAACAGAGAAATCTGGACCTTAAATCCCATTTTATGACGTTATACCGCCCCCCTACCCCCCTTTTGGGGTGAATTTCATGTCTCTTTGTGGATGTGGTCGTGTTATTTGGTGGGTTCAGATGGGAGGCGAAGTGCTGGACCTTCTGGTGAAACATAATGTGGAAAAGAATCGTGTCCCCGAACTTGAGTTTAATATAAGAATTACAATTTAGTAAAATTACCAATAAAATTGCTGGCAAAAGGAATGCTATCAACAATAATAATTATAGTTTTAATTGCGTTTTTATTTAGCCCTTCCAACACTAAAAGGACAAAAATAGTTGTACTTTTAAATTATTTTTATTTTATGGATTATTTTTATGCATTCTTGACTATAAAATATGTACAAACAGCTTTTTTTAAAGGTTCTTTTGAAGGGATCTGCAGTGTGAAGCAAGAGACAGGGTAGAGGGATCTTTACACAACACAAAGCCATTAAAATACTTTAGCCTGAAGGGTAGGTATGCAGAAAATGATTTTAAAGCTTTTGAAAACTTTTAAAACTCTCATTACACCTTGACACAGGTAACCCAAACTCAACAATAGTGGACAACCTGAAGAAGCGCCAAACGCAATTCTTATTAAGGCTGCTTATTTTTTTGGTACAGTGATCAACATTTAACACTTAAAGTAAAACAAAAAGGTTTACGAGGTAAAAACTAGGATCCAATTGTAATCCTACAGGTACTGTATCTTAAGATTTGAGATAGTCTTAAATCTACAGTCTTAAGATTTTTTCTTTCGCAGCTTTACTAAGCTACCTCTAACAATGCTCTTTTTTTCAAAATAGTTTTACATTAGAAATATAATCCAACAAGACTAATACGGCTTATTTGCATCATGTCTCACCAGGCAAAGTTCATTCAGGTTTGCAAACAGGCTCCATGAGTCAACATCCATGAGGCAGTTGTTCTGCTGCAGGTTCATGAGTGTGGCTGAAAACACCTGAAAGGAACAAAACAGGCACAAACAGAAAGAGCTAAGTGTCCAAATGTGGTTTTAAATTTCAAATCCACTATTCTGTGGGAAGGACAACCCAACAGAGGTTTCTACGTGAACCAAACACAAGAATTCAGGGAGATAATAAATAAAACACAAAGCAGCAGGAGTTGGGTTTCGTTTGGGTTTGGTCGATTTGTTTGTGGTTCTGTGTGTTTGCGTGGAGCATTGTGATGCTTTGAATGGACAAGGTCACCTCTTTGAGAACCATGAGCTGATCCAGGAAGTAAACGCACTCGCTGGTGAAGAGTTCCCAGATGGCCTCTTGTCTCTTTCGACCCTGAGGGTCAGAGGTGACGCCCACCTGCGAGGACTGATCCTGGAGGAACTCAGCCAGAGAAAAGTCCTGAACAGACAAACGACGACAGTGAGAAACGAGGAAGCTGCGTCTCCCTCAGAGCACGTTGGCACAGAAAAAAAGCTGCATTTTCTTTGTAAGTTTCCTGCCACCATGGTGAATCAGATGCGGGTCAGTGTTTGTTTATAGACTTTTGTAGAATGGCTCTAACTGGTTGCCGCCTAGAAATTCTGGTTCTTACACAAACTGTGTCATTTTAACTCCGCAGGATATTCCCGCTAACTGTTGTTTGGTCATTTCTAAATCATTTAGTAAACAGTGAGTTGTGTTTAAATTAGAAATCTGAAGGTCTCTGTAGCTCAAACATGTCCTGGATGAGTGCACATACTAAGCCAATCTGACGATTAACATACAAAGCAAAGAAGCTTTGCTGCTGGTGGTCCTCACCTTATACTTCTGAAAGTCAGTGTTTCTCCAGTCTTGAATCTGCACCGTTGAAAGGTATTTTTCAATATCTGATACTGTGCCCACCTGCAATTTCCCTTTAGTCTGGAAGACAGAAAACAAAACTCAGACACCAAACAGACTGTATTGGAAAACAAGAGATCATTTCTGTATTTTCTGTTTAGCTCTGGTCATTATGAGCAAAAATAACACCTTCAGAAGTGAATTAAAAAGTCTGGCTCAAGTTCTACATTTCAACCCCCTGCAAAAACTGTGACCTAAAGGGGATAAAAGGAAACGCACTAATCTGCTTTGAGAAGTGGGTCAGAGAACAATGTCCAAACCAACTGACCAGTTTTGTAACAAAGTACATCCAAACAAACCACAGACCACATCACTGGCACCAGTCACACACACACACACACACACACACCAGACAGACCAGTAGGCAAACGGCACACCTACCGTACTGCGCCTCAAAAAGGGCCACTTTGATTTCTTTGCATCTACAAAATCAAACACAGAAACAAAGTGTGATTGTGTTGTGTGGCAACAGCCTGGACGCAGACATTAAAGACCTTCTGACAAAGCTTGCTTTGATTTGAGGACAACAGTTTAAAACAAAATACGAACTGTGACTCTGAGTCCCCAGTGCCAATTTACAGCCCCTCATTTCATAACAACACAAAGTCCTTGTGCCATTTTATACTCCTAAAGAATCAGTTTTGTTCCCATGCACACAAACCATGATCGATGTATTTAGGCATAGCCATGAAATATGAAGATTTTTTTTTTCAGTGGATTTATGAAGTTTCCAGTGTCAGTAATGGTTTGGGGTATTCTGGGGAGAACTTCCACTGAAGTTCACAGCCATCTACCAGGAAGTTTTAGAGCACTTCATGCGTCCTTCTGCTGACAAGCAATATGGTGATGCTGATTTAATTGTCTCGGTACCTTCCCACATTGAAGATGAGAGACGCCAGACCCAACAAATATGGATGAGCAGAAAGATGCAATCAAAGCAACCTGGACTTCCATCACAACTCAGGAGAGTCACAGGCTGATTGTCTCCATGCCATGTTGCATTGATGCAGTAATTCATGGAGAAAAAGCCCCAACCAGGAACCGACCTTTCCAAAAGCCTGACACTTCTGTTTGGAATATTTTCATTGACCATTTGTAAAATGCTAATTTTCTAGAACAGTGAATTTTGCGTTCAAAATTTAAATAAAAACTTAAAATACAAATCTGTAAAATATACAAATTTCACTTTTTGAAATGAGAGACAAAAACACTAGAATGTTTTTCATGATATTACATTTTTTTACCTATACTTTCGAGATGTAATATAATTTGGCATTTGGTCATAGAGAAGTAAAGTGCTTTAAAACTAATAACACAGCAAATATGTATAGCACAGATTGCTTTTAATGAGCTCTTTGTAACCTCTTTTGCCATCAAAGAGAAAACCCAGCCAAACAAAAACTCTTAAGTCGCTTGCCTCACATTAACAGTAAACATGGGTGGGTTATGGTCAAACCTTTTGGCATCAAGAAGCAATCTGTTAAAACATTGACTCATAACAGTACAAATTTAATCAGAGGGCAGATCTCTTGGCTAAGGATCATATTGCAATCAAACAGAAAAAAAACAAAACATAAAACCGACATATAAATGAGAGAACGTGGAATTTTACCAGCGAGATTTGAATCATTGATCATGTCCGCCGCTCCGTTGGACACAAACAGGTCTCCTGGCGAGACATCGAGTCCAGGTAAACTGACCACCACCGAGCTCCGCCTCCTCTCCTGAAGCCTGAAACAGAAACACGAGGAACTTTAGACGCTGAACAGTTTTATCCAACATCATAAGATAAAAATGAACAGTCACTGTACTAATTTGCAGTACAGTAAAGTAGTACAGTACAGGGAAACGGCTGACTCAATATCTGAGAATCTCTTCCAACAAATCTAGTCTATGTGAAACGTAAGTAGAGTCAGACTATCCAAGCAGGGGAGGGGAAATAAAATTCCCTTTGTCATTTTGTGTAGCAGAAATGCCACTGAAATACCATCCGCTTTGTGTGGAAAACCAGTCATTAATGTGAGTAGCAGATATTATGAAGGATAAGTGTTATGCGTCTGGCTCATGCACAGACAGCTGCCGATTAATGGATCACCCTGTTTGCGTGGAAGGAGACAAGCTGTCAATGTGTGCCAGTTCTAATCCTCCCAGTCTTCTTTTCATAGTTGGTAACTGAGGCATGGCTTTGGATGGAAAAACACAGGCCTGCCTTTTAGCCTGGGGACAAAGCTCACACAGCCGCTGTTCTCAAATGTTATGACTTATCCTCTGTCACTAAACATTTGGGATTACTGTTCAGGGCGAAAATGAACTTTCACGAGCTAAAATTAGCAGCTGACAAATGTGATTGTGTGGCGAAGGCAACATTAAAGATGGCAATGAAATGACTGTAGAGGTTAAGGGTGTGGAGTGACTCATCTGTCAGAAAGGATTAAATGAGGTACACCTTGAAAAACTTGATCAGTGACAATGTCAAATGACAATCATAATCAAATCATGCCTACGCCAAGGAAACAAGAGAAATTATTGAATGTGGCTGCTGTCGGTTAGCAACTAGATGGGCTGGTTTTTCCTCAAAGTACGGCTAGATGTGATGGTTTCACATAACCAGGTAGACCACGCTACACTAAAGAAGTTACTGTTTTCTCTGGCTGTATGGAGAACAGAGTAACTTAGTCCCTGCCCCAACTGTTGGCTGCACACTACTGGTCAGCTGACCAGAAAAAAAAAGAAAGAAACAAAATACACCAAACATTTTTTCTCACAAAACACTAAAAATAAAATTGCCTGTTTTTCCAGCCAAACAATTTTAGAGTGAAAACTAAAGAGCAGCACCCCTCAATCAGTGTGCAGACACATGATATGTATAAGGAGTAATATTTCTCATAATAATAACTTATGTTACATTAAGAAGTGTATTCCAAATTATGCTTAGCTTTAAGCATAAAGATAGCAAAACAATAATGTTTTATTTTTGATTTGAGATCGACACAGCTGATGTACATTTCCCTTAATGCAGTTATAATAATCCAAATATTACACACTACACACTATTTAGAAGCAGCAGAAATATTCATTACTTTACTTGTTTAAATAAAAGTTGTTGCATCATGTTAAACATTTTGGTTTGAAAATGTTTATGCAAATACTGTGAAGAAATAGGCTATTGTACCACACTGAAGTTTTACTTTTAATCCTAAAAAGCCAATACTATTTACGATATGCATTTCAATACTTCCATCAATAACCTGATGCATTTTGCACATTATAAAAATTCTTTGATATCTACACGACTGCAAAGCCCTAACGATGATACAAAATGCAAAAATGAAAAAAGTAGCAAATGTTTTGAAAGCATTTGTTAAAAGAAACTAAATTAGGATTTTTTAAAATATATATTTCAGTTTTGTTTCTTGCTACCTTCAATTCTTGTATCAGGCTGTAGGGTTTAAATATTTAACGCTCACAGGGGGAAACAAAACCTAAACAGTTTAACTAGAAAAATATTGCGGCAGAAGCAGAGTGCCCATTGTTCACCAAAAGCACATCCTCATTTCCGACATTGTTTAATGGCATTTACTGACAAACCATTTTCAAACAATTAGCTGCAGCAGAAGTAGAAGTACCAACAACAGTCTTACTTCACCTTTTGTTAATGTCACCCGTTATATTCAAAAATAAACCACCAACTTGTTCCCTTTTGCAGTGCAGAGCACCAGTATTTAGTACAGTGACTGCACTTTTTCCAACTGTACATGTATAGTTGCACAAGCAGCTTGGGACACTAACTGAGAGCAGCTATAAGCTGCATGGCTGCAGGGCCAACGTACGCTTTACAGGATAAGCTAGTGTGCAGCTCAACTGAAAACGGGAGTAACCTGGTACATTATTCCTTCAGCATGCTTTTGTTAGAATGTGAAAGCCTCAACTGTTCCTTCCTTTCACTGCCCTTCCTGCTAATCTATTAAACACGATCCCACCAATCCCCAACTCCAGCTAAGTGCACGTACATCACAACAGATGGCATCAGCAGCTGAACGTGGCATGGGCTGGCTGATGGGGTGCTAAGAAATAGCCGACTGCACGTCTAAACCAGGTCAATGCTTCATCGTGATTCATTCCGTGGCATCGTCACAATGAGCCCCTGTTGCCTTGTGATCATGCAGAAAACCTCCTCTGTACCAGCCTCTCTGCCAGCAGAGAGCACTTGCTTGTTTTGTCTCCCATATTAACGAGAGAAAATAATGATGTTCCAAAACAAAACTGCCCGAACAGACTGCGAGCAGAGCCCGGACACTGTCCCAGGCACAGTTCCAGGGTGCAATTAATGGGACAAAAGCTACCTAATTATCCAGTGTGAGGAAGAGCCTCGCCGCCCATGAGGAGGGGTGTGGGTGGTGGTAAGGGAAAACAGCTTTAATGAGGGTTTGTCTAGCCCAAATGTAACCATGGGACTCTCAAAACTTAACCTACCGTGCTTATGAAGCATTAACAAAGACGTGAAGGACAATGAATGCACAAAAGGGCTCCGGAAGCTAATGGTCCAATCGGCATCCAGAGATCAGGCCCAAAGCACTTTGATGTGATGGAGCTCGACTTTCTACTTTTTTTTCCCCCCTTCTTGCAAATCAATTATTTGCCACGAAGCAGCGCAGCTTTACCATTTGAACACCTGACAGCTGATAGGGACAACTGCAAAACAAATGTGCGCTCTGTAAAAGAGTCCAAATATTTTACTACATTCCTGATAAGCAAATATGTTCCCACACATTTGAGCCTGAATATTTTTATGCTACAGTGCTCACAGTCCCAACAGACAACATACAAACAATGATATTCACAGCATCCAATGTACAGTGCGCCTACCTTCGATGGCACCGTTCCCTCTCCTGTAGGAAAACAGAGAAACTTTATTAGAACTGTAGGCTTTCAAAAACAGTAAACGTACAATTTCCATGCTGCACGGACACCGTAAAGACCGAGCATGCAAAGACCTCCTACTGCCAACGGCACCACTAGATCACTTTCAAAGACACCGTAATCTGAATCAGTGTTTTAAGTGGTCGCTTGGATTCAAAAGCCCTCGATATTGTGGGAGAATGTCGACACTATTGAGAATGTGCCTGCCTGGAAACCACGAGCTGATGAATAGAGCTGCCCATTATCTTTTTCCAATCGCTCACTGACCCCTCCATTATTGGGTGACTGCTGACTGCAGTGAATGGGGGCCCCGAGGAGAGCACTTCCCAGGGCCCTCCAGGCTGTGGGCTTGGTCAGAGCTGTCAATGTGTGTAACTGCTGATTCATTTGCTGTCAAAAGCTTGCATTGTGAGTGACCGCTCCAGGAGGGCTTCTACAAGTGAGGAATGTCTACCTATTTAATTTATTAAAGGCCATGCATGGAAATACACAGGAGAAAAGGTCTTGAGGTGTTGGACTGAGGTCTGAGGCTGGCGGAGTTAAATTGAAATGGAAATCAACAAAAACACTTACCTGCACTTCTACATCAGAAAACGGAGACTCTTTCATTAGAGCAGGATGAGCACTGTTGCATTCCCAGTTTGGGGAATTGACACCGTTTTCAAAAGTCTTTGATCTACGCGATCTGGTTCTCTGTCGCCCAGAGGGTGAAACGGACTGTGGTTCCTGACAGTTCTCTCCATCAGAGGAGGAGGTTGTTGCTAAAGGTGATTTGACTCTCTTCATAGGGGACAGTGGGCTTGCAGGGCACGGCTCCTCCTGAGTGCTCTCCATGCGGCCCGATTCTCGAGTGTCAATCATAGGACGTCTGGTGCTCCTCATCCTCCTCAAGGTGGGAGACGTAGAGATGCGTCCAGGAGCCTGGCGGTCGAACTGGAACAAAGGTGCCAACTGTCCCTCAGTGTCCACCAGCGACAGGTGTCTCAGCTTGGAGTGCGTCCGTGTGAGATCTATGTGCATTATGACCGGGCTGCAGGTCTGACACTCCTTGTGCTTGAAAGACCCCGAGTCCGTTTGGGTCTCCATGTCCGACGATCCTGTTGTGACGACTTCATTCTCGGCCCATTCGTTGATGTAACTCCAGTCCAGTTTCTTCTCATTGTCCTGGTCTTTGTCCTGCAGAATAACGTGCTTCAGCGTAGACATTGTAACCTCAAAGGCATTATTACAGTGCAGCAGACATCTGAGAACGTGTAATCTTACAGCCTGATCGCTTTGGGTTCCTTTAAGGTGACGTCAGACGATAATCCTGTTGTACTCCACTTTCACACCATTTACTTCTCAGATTGCTGGAGGAAAAGCAGGATATTTCAAGTTATGTTCATTCAATCAAGAAGTTTCCTGGTGATCAGAAATGGTAGACGTATCTCTCAAAAGATAAGACAATGTAATTTTGAAGAAAAATGTTCAGCCTTTGTTTACATTAGAAAGTTGAAATGTATTTATACATTTCTCAGTAATAAATAAAAGAAGAAAATCAACCCTTCTTATAGTTGCTGATCAGCTTTTTGCGCATTTACACTTATATTTTTGATCATTTTTCTTATGTAATGAGCTTAAATAGATATTTTCCTCAAACATCTTCACTGTCAGACTCAAGTCAGGACTCTTGTTGAACCACTAATGCATAAATATTACTTCTACTCATAAAAAAAATTCTAAAATTAAAAGACTACTTTGGCTCTAAATTTGCCAACCAAATAAATAATTTTGGGTTTAACATTACATTTATTTAAAATGGCAGTTTATTGAGAATTAGCAGAGAGAAAAAACTAAAAATTTAAATATCTTATTAATAAACGGGATATCTGGATCGAAAAGGCAGGTGTTGGGTTCAATGATGCTCCAGCAACGCACCTGTTACTAGAATAAATATTACTGCGTTCATTTAGTATTTAACATAATAAGAAACCTTAAGAAACCTTCAAAGACTACTACCACTTTGTTGGTCTCACAGATATGAGCCATTTCTAAACTAAAATGTTTTTGTAGCACGTCAGGTGCATATCATTGACAAGTCAAGCTCTTAGCTCGACAATATCCATTTGGGAACAAAAGACAGCGTGCCGAGAGCGCAAACAAGTCACAAGTTTACAGCTTTTAAGCTGCAGACAGCCGCTCTTTCACATATTACTTCTGTGAAAGCGAAACCCGCACCTGTTTCGGAAAGAGGGTAAAAAATTAATCAACAGCTCTAGTTTACTTACATCCCTACAGCTGCTGCCCCTCGACTCCGCCGCCGCGTTGACGTGTGGCCGCAGAGAGCAGCATGTGGGCCGGCCTGGTGAACGTCTGGAAAAAGTCTCGAAGATGTTTAATTCCCAGGAGAAACTAAACAATGCAAAGAACCGTCCTGTGAAAAGGTGGGAAAGGTGCGTCTGCTGCGCCCTGCTTGCCTGGGAACATCAACACTCTAACCCGGGCGTCCCTCCCTCCTTCCTCCGACACAAAGCGACGTCACAGGCCGCCTGGAACAATGAGGCTGGGCTGAATAACATGCAGTCACTTACTGCCGCTCCACTCGTGTCATGTGAGAGGAAAATTAAACACCACATGCGGCTGCGTTCTGAATAATGACAGACTATATAGATGTAATTTAGATTGCTGACAGTTTACAGTTATATCAGGGCCACAAAATCCTGAAAGTAGAGTTTTTTTTAAGAGCAACGTTCACATTTTAATTAGTCTATTCAACGTGAAACTCTATCTCCATATTCTGGGATAGAGTTGATGGACAGAATGTGTTTTCTACTAAAGAAAACAAAAGCCTACAAAAAGGCAAAACATTACGGTTTGACGGAACCAAGCTGGAACTTTTGCACCACAATTATAATCTTAATTACAAAAAGATATGTTTTGCACATAGATAACCCAGAACATCACTAACAGAAGAGTGCACTGTTCTTACTCACGGTGAAATATGGTGACAGCTTCCTCATTATGCTGGGATTACTTTTCAGATGAAGCAAGACATTTCTCAATACTAATAAACATGTAAACAGATCGAAACACCAGTCAGTTTTGACCCAAAGCCTATAGCTTCTGGAAAACTAAAGACAGAGGCAGATTTTGCATTTCAACATTGCAGTGACTCCAAGCATCTGCCAAAATCAATAACAGAATATCTTTGTGAGGAGGAAATTAAAGGAAAATTGTAGTCACTTGTAGTTGACACATATTATCAATCTCAAATGTGGGATTCTGATAAACTCCAACCAAAGAAAAGCAAATGATTAAAAAGGTACATCAATAAAGTTGGATTAAGGAAGTGCACAATGATGCAGGTTATGTGTGTGTGTTTTTTTTTTATTTTACTTTTTTTCTTCTATGAGAGGGGAAAGTGTAAAAGCCACATTGTTTGTCACACTATTTTTGGAAGACATTTTGAAATTACTTATAAAGGTACCATTCTGCAAATTTAAGTGCATAAGTATTTAAAAAAATTTTATAATGCATTTAATTTGTGTTTTACATTTTAAAAATACACAAGAGGATGTATTTAAACAGGATTTAGTGGGTGTGGTGCTACAGTTTGCTACAGTTTGCTACAGTTTTTACTCAAAGTAGAATTTAATTACTTTAGTGGTGACTAATAATCTTTATCCTACATCTGTAATCTATAAAAATGCAGCAGTTGAACACCAATAAAATAGAAGAGTGATAGGGAAGCAGTGCACTTTGTACTTCAGCTTCATTTTGAACATGAGGAGCTGTAAAGATGGCACTTACAGGAAGATGTAATCTGATCTGTGTCTCAACATTAAATCAGTTGTTATCTCTTATATGTGTTGTAAAACAATCACTTAAGTCAGTTTCCCACAAGCAGCTCTCTCGGAAATTAGGAAATGCTGTTTCTTTTTCTAGTTTCACATGGAAAAAAATAACTGGTTTATTTTCCACATTCCTTTTTGTACATACAGACATAAATGAGACAGTGGTTCACTGACAGTCCAGCTCATTGGAAACGGTGTAAAAATGTCAGTATGAGTTGTGTTTGTATTCAACACAGAGAAGCTGAAGAACTTGTTAGTGAACGCTACGGGGCGACACAGATTGTGTGTGAATGTGAACATTTTCAGGATTAGTCGGAAGCGCCCCCTGCTGGATTTAGAGGTGCGGTACACTGGAAATGACAGCTACGTGATCCATTTGTTATTTTACATCACTGTCATGAAGCAATGGGTCTTCTATTAAAATAAACTAGATCTATAAGGATACTTTTTGTTCTTTGGAATTTTTTTTCACCTGAATGAAGATTAACCAGGTGTACCTTACGTATTAAAGATAGATGTAGTGTATTCACTTTGCAAACATGTATTTGGGTCGGTTGTCTAAATACTGGCAGGGCTTGCAGGTTCAGTCAGCAAATTTAGGAACTTGTATATATATATATATATATATATATATATATATATATATATATATATATATATATATATATATATATATATATGTATACATACAAGTTATATATATATATATATATACAAGTTATATATATATATTTAGTTAAGTTCTTAACTAATTAAGTTCTTAACTAACTATATATTTAGTTAAGTTCTTTAAAAAAAAGAAGAAATACATTTTAATGATTAAATTAAACAATAGAAACCCATAAAATATTTGCATCCATAACAGTTATTTCTTTTATTTAGACTATTTTAATAAAGCTTTAAAAAAAAACAGAATAATGCATAGTACAGATGAAACGTGATTTTTATTACAGAAATTTCAGCCGACTAAAAGAACGCCAATATGGGAACTTCATGCTCTGTCAGGATGAATTTCGGCTGTGTGCCATGGAGGTGATAATGGTACAGCTCTGATGAAGATGTTCAGGAAGCTCTGGTGGCTTTAAAGCAGCATCTCTGCTTTGTGTCATCTTCTTCCTGACAATGATCCATTGATGATCTGTGGGAATTGGGAATGTGTTGTTCAGTTAAGAACAGTAACACCATAGCTATTAACCCAAGTATTGGTAATGTGGTTCAGTGGGTTGGTGACAAGTTGATGACCTGGTGACCTGTCCAGAATTTATATCCCCACTCCTTGCCTAATAATCTCTTGAGATAGAAAAAAAGCCCTCCTGCTGCCCTGAAAGTGGATACAGAGAATGGATGGATAGGTCTCCACAAAACTCATCAGAAAATGTAAACATTCGGTGTTGTAGCATTTTCTGATGGATTCTTATTCAGACGTTTGACTTGATAAAACTATGACCAGCAGATTTGGCTGCCCAAATCATCACTGACTGCAGAAACTTCACACTAAATCTCAAGCTAATTGGTTTCTTTGCTCATCCTGAAGACATTTTCCAATTAAGAAAGCATGGATTTATTCAATCAGTGCAACATGCGTAGCCCTGATCTGTGTACACTGACTCTTTAAATCCTCTTTTAGATGCTCTCAAGGCATGAGTTATTTCTATTGTTTGTGCACCTTTATATAACATACCTTTTCCTTCCACTTAACTTTCCAATAGTTTACGTGCATACCGCCGTGTGTTAGCTTCATTAGCAGTGATCTGTTGTGGCTTGCACAATGACAGGTCTGCTGGTCAGCTCACAAATCTGCAGTTCTCCCTATTATCATATAACATTTCTAAATCAAAAATCCCTTTTTTTTAATTTAGGAGTTTCCTTAAAACTCATGTAACTGACAGAGTTTTCCTGTAAAAACACCTCTTTGTTTTTACAACGTATAAACCATATTGAGCCTAAATAACAGAAGTAAACATTTGAAATAAACTACAAATGTATTTCTGTTTAATGTGTGTTATTTTTCTTACTTGAATAAGTACAATAAAGGACCTATTTTGCTATATTCTAATTTACTGAGATGCATCTCATTCCACATCTTACTGGGGTTAGGAAGCTGCTGCACACTCACAGGATCATCCTCTAGCCACATGTTGACAAACTTCTCCAATGATCTGATCGCAGTTAATGTTTTAAATGTTGTAAGACCATAGTTTTTTCTTTTTTTTTTTACTTCCCTGTGATGTCATATTGTTCTGTTTGAACATGTTTCCAACTTTCCCACTTACTTAGGGCAAAGCCAATACCTGTAGTCTACATTTAACTCAGGAATATTGCAGCACTCGCATTTCTCCTCCTCTAAAATGACACACTGTTGCATATTCACATTCATCAGGAAGTCTCCTCTGACTGAAAGACAAATAAAAAGATGTGAAACCGAAGGAAATCGGGCCCACAGCTCTGACAGCAGAAGTCTCCTCCCCCCTGAAGTAGATGTGAAGAAGAGCGTCCTGCAGGGTGAAATATACAGGAAGAAGTGGAGCAAGTCTCTTTTTAATTTACACAAGAACAGCGCGTCGCGTCGCTCGGCGGCTGTTCCTGTGCACTTTTCGCACTTTCCAAGTCGCCTCGGAGGGAATTAACTGGAGTTACGATGTTGAAAGTGGATGAAGGGGAGTGCTGTTGAACTGACGGCGGTGTAACGTGTGGGTTTCCTCAGCCGAGGAGAGCAGAGGAGTGCCTTTTGGGTCATAAATGGAAAAGCAGAGCGGAGCGGCAGCAGAGCAGTGAGAATGTCGGAGCACAAATCCAGTTTTCTTCACATCGGAGACATTGTGTCTCTCTACGCGGAAGGCTCGGTGAATGGCTTCATCAGTACTCTGGGGTATGTATGTATGTGTCCCTCAGACGCCAGTCCTCTCTCTCTGAGGCTGTCTTCATGTGCGTTTCCCTCTTAACCTCTGACACAAGCCGCCTCTTTCTTCGCCTCACTCTGTTCGCTCTAAAGTCAAAGTTTCATGTGCGACTTGCGGCGGAGGCCTGGCAGCGCGCAAACCGCTACATCTCAGGAAATACTTAACGCAAAATGCAACAGGAATGCAAAACGGCTTGATCCCCAGGTGCACATGTGCGGGCGGTGGATTATTTTTCTTGGCTGTAGACACCAGGGTTCCAAAGAGCTACGAAAAGGAGTTTACGTGTGTTATCCGCGACAGGAGGAAGGAGAGAAACGCTTGATTGAATCGGTAATCGAAGAAGAGTTGACTGTCAATATTCTATTTTCAAGCATCTCTATGCAGTCATGTCTCACGCTTTCTAGATTACAGATGCACCAATCCGTCAGCTAGAGATTGGAATAGGCCGATTTTCCCTTGGTTGAGTGTGATCAGAAAATACAAACCAAGCAGAAGTTTTGTTCTTTGTTTTATTAAATGCATTCAAACTAAGAACTCCCACTCTTTTCAGTCTACCAACACAAACGCACAGCCTGCACTTAAATGCACTGCTGGGATTTTAATAAAAAGCTGTAATAAATCATGTGGTCCGTTTTCGATCAAGGCATATAATAATCCTTAGTGTGGAAAAAAAAAATCATTATGAGCAAATATTAGAACCCACAGGTCAAACCACTCACCTGTTTCACTAAGCAACAGCTCACAAAAGAGAAACTGCATTTGCAATTTACACTGGTATTGTGGGATGTTTTGGTGACCCAATTAGAGTCTATGTTGTTGTTCACCGCATTTGTGTAAAAACGATGTGTTTTTGTGTTTTTAAGTGATTCAGCTCACTTTATAGTCTCCCCATTTTGTGTAAAATCACCACATCTGGATTAGAATTAATATTTTACCTGGAGCTGAAAGATGAAATGAAGGTCAAACTCTAATGATTTAGTCTATCATCTAAAGCAATTTTCACAGCTTTTGGAGACCTGTAATGAATAATAAAATAAATCTGTTATGACATAAGTCGTAGAGGGAGCAAAAATTAATAAGGGCCCTATTTGCAGTCATTCTGGTATTTACCCATCAGTAAATCTGCCAGAGATCAAATTAATCAAATTTCCCCTTAAACGGGGATCTAAGTGTATCTCCAAGTGAGACCAAGAGTAAAGGAACCTGGATTCTTCAACAAGCTTCAGATTTCATGTTCATGTGCATTTCAAGATTGTGTAGTTGTTTGGAAATAGTGCCAATATACTCAAGATCGACTTTTTGGCAAAATGAAACAGCTGCCAATATGACAGTAATAACACAGAAGTTCGTTCTCTAAGCATTGTGGTCTGTTGTGAAAAAGTGAATATTTAATATCAGTTTATACATCACAGTTTCTCAGTAATACAAAATATTCAGTTTAAGTTGTTTTTAAATTCCCAAAATCAGCAAAAATGATCACC